GATGAGGGTGTCTTCCCAACCAAATGCCCTCTCCTCTTGAAAGAAACAGCACCCTCCCCTTCACTGTTCTCGGTTCCCCTTAGTGGTGAAGTGCTTCCCTGGAGAAGGGGCTGAGTCCATGGAAGGAGGAAAGGGGGGGCCGAAAGTCACCAGGAGAAAAGGACACGTTTTGTGCACCTGTGCATCATGGGAAGAAGAAAGGGGAGTGTGCAGGTGGAGAACGGTGTGGCCTGGACTTCCCACTCCAATTTAGGAAGAAGCTTTTGAAAAGTGGAGGACTCCTGGGAGGAGGTGCCTCGCGGCTGGCTGGAGCTCCAAGGGCAAAGCCTGAGCTCCACGGGCCTCTGGGGGCCTTGCTCCCCTTGCGGTGCCCGCTGGTGTGCACCGAGGTGGCTCTTGTGAGGTCCACATGGGGGCCAGGGGAGTGGCCCACGCAGGGACGGTTCCTGCAGGCTGGCCCCTGTGCTGTCAGTGAGGCTGGTACAGGTACAGGCACGGAGCACAGACCCTTCCTTTGCTGCCCTCCAGAAGCCAGATGAAGGACCTATTTTTGGAGAAGGTAATCAGGAGGAAAGTTTAAATCAGACCCCAATAACAGGGACGAGTTTACTCTTCCCACTACCCCAGGGATGTCACAGATGGACTGCCCAGGTGAGAGCAGGTCTTCTCTCATTCCTGCCTCATTCCAGGCCCCATAAAAGGATGTGGACCAAAGGTTCCACATAAGGAAGCAACCTTTCTATTTTAAGAATACAATTTTTAAATTGGCCAATAAAATTAAAATATCTTTTCTGGAAACAATACCAAAAACAAAAACAAACCAGACACTCTAGGAGCCAGCCTTGTGGTGTAATGGTGAAGCTGCCCCCTGGAATGCCACCATCCCATATGGGATGCCAGTTTGTGTCCAGGCTGCTTTACTTCTGATCCCACTCACTGCTAACAGTCTGGGAAAGCAGCAGAACATTTTGATCCCTGTGACTCATGAGCGAAACCTGGATATGGCTCCTGGTTTCAATCTGGCCCAGTCCTGGATGCTTAGGGAGTGAACCAGCAGGTGGAAGAGCCTTTCCTTTTCTTTCTCTAAATGAATTTTAGAGTAAAATTAAAAATCTGTTAAGAAAGAAAAGAAAAGGCTATAGTGAAAAGAAGACTTAAGATCTGATGAGATGGGGGACAAATGCATGTGTTTCTTGAGGTGGAAAACAGGGATGGGATCAGGAGGGGATGGATTAGGAATGCTGCTTTTCCATTCCAACAAGAGTGGATGCCCATGAAAATCTACATAAAGGCAGAGGTGAGAGGGAAGACAGTTAGTTGACTGTTAATCAACTAATGGCTCCAATCTTCTCAGCTAGATAAGGCTTGGGACCAGTATTTTGGCACATTAGACAAAGCTGCTGTCAGATGGTGGGCCTAGGAAGGTGGCAGATAGCCCAAGTCCTTTGGCCCCAAACACAATATAGGTGACTCAGAAGAAGCTCCTGGCTGCTGGCTTTAACCTGGCCCAGTCCTGGCTATTATTGCCATCAGGGATTGAACTAGAAGATGAAAGATCACTCTTGGTGTCTCTCTCTGTAACTCTTTCAAATAAATAAATCTATTTTTTAAATGTAGAAAATAATTTAAAAAAACCCAAATCTCTGCTTTCAAGTAAGTAGTATTTTAAGGAAAAGAAAAATAAGGCTGTCTGCTGAAATTGAGGGGTAAAGTGGTATGGTAGAGCATCTAGAAAGAATTAAACTGATTTGAAATAATCCTTGAATAATGGATCTAAGGGGTCAGGAAAGTGGTGCAGTGGGTTAAGCTGTCACTTAGGACACAGTCATCTCCTATGAGAGCATGGGTTCAAGTTGTAGTTGCTGCACTTCTAATATAACTCCCTGATAACATGACTGGGAAGGCAGATAATGACTCAAATACGTGGACCCTGGCCACCCAAATGGGAAATTTAGATGGAATTCCTGATTCCTGGCATTGGCTTAGCCAGAAGTGGCTGTTGCAGCCATTTGGGCAGTGAACCATCAGATGGAAGATCTTAACCTCTCTTCCTCTCTTTGTGTTCCTCTGTTATTCAAACACACACACACACACACACACACACACACACACACACACACACACACACACACACAATTTTTCAAAAAAGAAAAATGAGTCTAAGGAATCATCACTTTCCATCTGGACTACTAGACTCAACCCACTTCGCTCTCCAGGCACCTGTTCTTATTCTCCTTCCAATCTTCTGAGGCGATGGTTTTCTCAAATACCTAAAGAGCATCATGACACTGTCCAATTTCAAGTTACTATGAGAGCTGATAGTGGGGGCGGGCCAGGCTGCATCCTCTGACACACCCAAGAACCAGAATGGGTGCGAACCAGCCAATCTAAGCTACAGTACCAGCTCTTACATGGCAACATTATGTGCAAGTCATGTAAAGCTTTGACCACAGTACACCCTGGCAGGTACAAGATCTGGGGTTGGGGCATGCCTGGCAGGGGAACTGAGGATACCCCCCTGCTAGGCTGTACCTTCTGCTGATGAGCACAAGAACCAGGGCTTGGGACACACTTAGCTGGACAAGGCAGCACCTATTGACATATGTGAGGGTAGGGTCTGGGGGCAGGGCTGGCAATGCTAAGCCAAGCACCCATGGGTGTGCATGAGAGCTGGATGGGATGCAGGCTGGGCAAAGCTAGGCTGTGGCAGAAGCTGGCACATGCAAAAATTGGGGCTGGGGGCACGTCTGGTGGGGTTTATTGGAGATTGTCATGACTAGACCATGGCACCTGCTGGTATGCGTGAGTACTGGGTTTGTGGTGGGCTGGGCTGGGTTAGGCCACAGCACCTGTCAGTTTATATGAGGTATGGGGCTGGGACAGAAGTGACCAGGCAATTGCATCCACCAGTATGTGTAATGGCTGGTGCTGGTAACAGACCAACCTGATCCTGCATTGGCTGGTGAACACAAGAGTCAAGTTGGAAGTCACCCCAAATGAGTTTTCCTGGGGGATTTCTCAACTACACCACTGGATTCAGTCCCTAGCCACAGGGAAAATCACAGGATGTGTGGTCCGTCCTTGTGGTTCAGGTATCAGAACTGAGTCTCCTCAGTTGCTGATGCCTGTGCAGTGGATAACATGCCAAAATGCAAATGGGGAACATGACAGCCAGCTCATCTAGGCCAGCAGGGGATGCCAACTGCCTCACTGAATGATGGAAAGCAGAATAGGTTGGACCACTCTGTTGGCCAAGCTAGCAGCATGTTCTGGGTCTGTGGATGCACTAACGTGGACTTTGTCAACCAATAGACCTTGGAAAGATTTTCTCATTCCTGGAGCAATGAAACTAACAACTTCTCAGAACGATCAAAACTTTCCAAGTAACTCCCTGGGAACACCCTTCCCCACATTTGGGTCTCTGACATGTCAACAAATAACCATCCACGGGTGCTAACGCAAGGCGTGGTCCCTTCCCATCCCCCCACTGAGGACACAGGAGGAAAAAAATGAAACATTTGTCCTACCCACCTTCCTCCCTACCTGACCCAACCCCCCTTAATCACAGGTCCACAGGGGCATGCATCCCTCTCAATTTTGTAGACAATATTAAAAAGAAAAGAAAGGGCTTGGTATGGTAGCCTAGTGGCTAAAGTGCTTGTCTTACATACACTGGCATCCTACATGGACACCAGTTCACACCTGGCAGCTCCACTTCCCATCCAGCTCCCTGCCTGGGAAAACAGCTGATGACAGCCAGAGCCTTAGGACCCTGCATCCATGTGGGAGACTCAGAAGAAGCTCCTTGGAAGCGCACTTGGGGAGTGAACCAGTGGATGGAAGACCTTTGTGTGTCTCTTCTCTGTAAACCTGACTTTCCAATAAAAATAAAATAAACTAAAAACACACAATTGAAGAGCCCCATGTGGGTGTCAGGGGCCCAAGCAGCTGGGCTCTCTCCTGCTGGCTTCCCAGGCCTGTTAACAGGGGCCCAGATCATGAGCAGACTCCAACCAGCTGCTGGCATCATAAGTGGTAACTTAATCTGCTTCACACAAGGCAGGGCCCCAAAATCTTTCTTAAAAAAATCTTTCATTACTACTACCTAGACTAGATCAGATTCCTCTGTATGCTACATTGAAACCTTATGGCTTTATCCTCAAGATAATTAAAAACTCATTTGTGAAAATAAATTTAATGTCTGTTTCTCCATTCAGTCTGTAGGTCGCACAAATTGTATTGTTTCTATGATTATCACATTTTGAGTCCTTCCAATTAATACTTGTTGAATTCTGAATGAATGGGAGAGGGATGCATGCTATATGAGTTAAGTATCACAAACTGGAATTATAACAATCCCATGTTAAGGGGAAAATTAAAAAAAATTTTTTAAATCATGGTTTTGATTTCTTCTTGGATAACCTCTTGCTCAATTTTACACTATTGTAGCAAGTTTAAACCTAGACACCATTCCAATTCATTTTGCGAATACTGTACATTTCATATTATCTGTTCCTCTTACCTTTAATTCTTTCTTCTAATTATTTGACTGATTATTTTTCTGATTGGTCAGAACTGATTTCATCTAATGTGTGCATGTGGTTATTTAGTTTTGTGTTAGTGTTTTATCTGCATGTTAACTTAGGGACAGGGAGTGGAGTGGGAGAATCATCTCCCCCTGATTTTCCTAGGTGAACATAAAATACAGGTATTTTCAGAACACTCTCCTCTGACATATGAGAGAGGAAATCAAACAGAATTAAATTAAGGCAGGACTATGATAAATTTACAATTTCATAATGTGCAAATCAATGCTTTCAATTTAAAAGGTCAGAGACCAGAGAAATATATGGACAAACAGAACAGTCACAGACTTAGTATAAAATTTGGCTACTTTAGAAATGTTGTGATATTTAATGTTGTTTACATGCAACCTATGTAAATGATAACACCACAGCATTTTTTCTGCAGACTGGATAACCAAGAGTTGCTGTTGTTACCTCTGATTCCCTGTCTTGCCTCTCTTTCATTATTTCTTTTTTCATCATCTCTTTCTCCAAGGCTCTTTTTTCTTGCTGAGATGCAAGTTCTTTTTCAAGGCGATCTGTCTGCCTCTGCAGTTCATTCTTCAACTGCTCACACTGGATTAAAGCCTGCCAGAATAAAAGAGTGAAATAGGAGCTCAGAGTTTTGGGGGAAAAAATAAGGTGATAATGACACATTCAAGCTTTAGTTTTATTTAAAATGGTTAAAACTCATTGCAATAACCTTGCACTTGCCTCTCAGTACTATTTTAATTTAAAATGGTACCTCCAAACGGTGTTTAACCACGAAGTTCAATTTTCACAATTAGTGTCATTTTTACCTAATCAATTAGAAAATTCTGGTGTCAGATCTTGATGAGGACCACAGATCAGAATTTTTAAAAAGGGGGGGTAGGGCTGGGGAGAGGTCAGAAAAACCAAGTGTCTTCATATAACCACTGATCTGAACCCTTGGAACTTGTTCTATCAATGACACAGTATGTGGCCAATGAGTTAGTAGACAACAGGTAATTAGCAAATCACTGTATTTGGAAGAAGTGAAAAGACAGCAATTCCCATGTCTGAAGGACCAGGAAGGAAACAGGCTGACAGTCCCGTCTGCATTCAGACTGTGACTTTCATGGGCATGAGTGTGAGTCCCCCATGTCTTCTCTGGTCTCACAATGTCTGGGTGGGGGATTCTGAGATGGGTAATTCCTCTAAACAAAACTCTCTGTGGACAAAATTGATCAAATGACTTCCTCAGTCCAGTCTTTATAACCCTGACAGCTGCATCACCTCTTCAGTTCAGTGAATGGCTTTTGATAAAGGACAGGGAAGGACAGCGGGGACAGGGCACACCAACAAGAGGGGGAAGGACAGCGGGGACAGGGCACACCAAGAAGAGGGGGAAGGACACAGGGACAGGGCACACCAACAAGAGGGGGGAGGACACCAGGACAGGGGACACCAACAAAAGGGGGGAGGACATCAGGGACAGGGCACACCAACAAGAGGGGGGAGGACACCAACAAGAGGGGGAAGGACATCAGGGACAGGGCACACCAACAAGAGGGGGAAGGACACCGGGGACAGGAGACACCAACAAGAGGTGGGCCTCGCTGTCGGGACCTGTTTTCTCACTCCACTGCACACACATTTATTTTCTTCCAATTTTCTTTGGCCTCTCTTACACAAATAAATAACTAGCTACTTTAACATTAATATTTTCAATTATATATCACGTTAAGTGCTATCTATGTGACACAGAAGTATAAGAATACTAAGGAATTTCTCATGTCCTCATAGCTAAAGATTAAGTTAATATTTTAAATTATAAATTCAAATTTAATATTAGAAATGAATATGATATTACTGTACATAAGCAGCTATTGTTTAATACTATAACATAATCAGGCTTCCTTAAATCAAGCAAAATTCAATTCACTCCCCTTAAACACACAACTAAAGCAAAAACTGGCTTATCAATCCACAGTTAATGTGTAAGCAAAGACTCAAAATAGCACACTCTAATTTTATGAGAATCACTAGCTCCCATTGCTGACAGAAGCCATTATTGTCCTTCAGTATAAATTTCTGAATTTCTCAGGTTAAAAGCTGTCTAATCCTCTTTTTAGATACAATTACAATATTTTTATATATAGCAAACAATAATAAAATTTGAGTTCCATATCCCCAAATTCCAATAAAATTATAGTGCTAGAATTTCTCAGTCCAAGCTACAACATCCACCCCTCCAAACTCTATCTTTCCACTTTCCTTATGACTTACGTGTGCTGTGTAATGCTATGTGTTGCTAGTTGCTAAAGGCATAGTCTTAGCAAACACTGTTTTATGCATGCATACGCTTCCTATGGTGAAACTTACAATAATAAATATCAAGGATATGAGAATTTCCTTTCTTGTTTATTTCAGGAGGTTCCATGCTGGCCTCATTCTTTTTTTTAAAAACATGATTTATTGGACTTGATATTCCCAAGTCCTACTGTGATTAAAGCAAAGCATACATATATATTACTATCTTAATTATTCAATAATGAAAATAAAATTTCTAGCTATTCAACTAAATTTTTGAAATAGCAATTTTAGGACATCTAAAAGTCCTTGCCAACTGCTAGGGTTAGCTTTGAAAAATCCTTATGAGAGAAGAATTCATGATTGGGGTCTTATGAGAAATATAGAATTCATAGCAATAAATGTGCACTTACATTGAACATTTTATTTTTATGAAATAAAGTTCATAAAATAAAATAAATATTAATACATTTTAAGCATGTACCTTATGAATAATTAAAGCTATTGATTTTTATTTTTTGATGCTCGCTTACCAGAAATTGAAACCTATACTTCCATTTCTCCCATTTTTCCATGATTTGTTATTTTTGTATTATAGTAATTGATGTTCCTTATTTTCTAGGCCTTTCCAATATTTTTCTGATTTATTTTTACTCTAGGCAACTAATTCTTGTCTTTTTGATTCAATTATAATTTATCAGACAAAATGATCTGGACACTTGAAAAGGGAAAACAGTTTTGTAACTTGCACTATGCCCACTGGGTTGGTATTTAAACAACACAAATCCTTCCATTAGTGAGATATCATTACTAAAGTCCCTTCAAAAGTTTCATGGAAAATGAGTCAAAAAGTAAGTTCGTTTCAATGCACAAAGATTTGTAATTTATGCACTTGAATATGCTCCTGATAACTTCCTGCCAAATCCGGGGCTTGGGGCCACCTCACACAGCTGTCCTGTCCATGTCCTCACACAGCCGTCCATGCCTTCCTGTCTATCAGGCACATGGCTCTAAGGCAGGTTAACTGGGGTATCCACTTCTTATAGCTTTCTCAAGATGTCTCAAGATGTCAAGGAAAAGCCTATTTTCCCATATTCAGGTAGTGAAACATGATTATTTTTTCTTTTAAAATTCTCTCAACCAAGATAATCTGCAACTTTTAAAGAAAAAAAAAAGCATATAATTACATGTAAAATGTCTGGCAAATGGTTTAAATGAATTAACTTATTTAACTCTCAATACACTTTAAATAGTTCTTATCACTCCAGTGAAGAGACAGGGGCCTTGAGTCATTAAGTAATTAGATCAACTCAGGTTTCATACTAGAAGCCAAGTCTGGCATGCTGATCTTCTCATCTCATGCATCTATTTTCTAAGAACTTCTCTGGTATTTATAATAAATCGTTAGTATTTAATTCCCATTTACTTAACATGCAATACACAAGTGGCACACTAGATGGCAACAAATGCCAAGGAGTAAAGAACAAAGTATTTCATAGCTCAGTAGTAAAAATAGTTGGACTTTAAACTATGTGCTTTCTGACTTCCTAGTTTGTTTTAACACAAACTTTACAGAAAAAAAACCCTACATTTGAATTACTTGGTTTATTTTACCAGGTCAAATCTTACACTCATTTTTAATTCAGTGGCAATGTTAAAAATTTCTAATACAATAGCCTTATTTATTCTGTTAACTGTAAGATTTAAAAATGCACAAATTATGCAGATTTATAGTAATATTTAAAATGAACAATTCTGCTTTAACATAACAGATGTTTCTGTATAATTAATACAGAAGTGGTCATCTTGAAAATATGGTAAATATTGGTAAATGTGGTAAATAATTGAAATTATAAGGTCTTTTGGAAGGAAAAGTGCCATGTAAAGCAGCTTTCACATTTCTACACAATGTCAGCATGAATGCAGAGGAGAAAAAGATTAATTCAAACAAGAAGGGGTTTGGGAAAACGTCACAGGAAGAGTGCCACCTGAGTCAGCCTCCTAGGATGAACAGATACTTCGCAGTATATCGTGTGAAAGAACACATCAGTAGTAAATGCAGGACAGTGGCCATTTGTAGATCATGTTTTGGAAAGCAGCTGGAGTATAGCAAAAGAAAAGTCTAGAAAAGAACAGGCACAAAAAGCTAAAGGCTGTACTAAGGAATCTTTTATCTTATTACAGGACACGGGCTACCTGAACAGTGAAATTCACATTTCAGAAAGACCTTGGCAACAGTGTGAAAGGCGTGGTGGGACTGGGAGAGGAGGAGGAAACCAACTGGAAGGCTGTGGTGAGAGTGTTAAGTTGCAGAGAGTACGTGAACACACGCACAGGGGAGAGGGTCAGAACTGAACGGCTGCCATTGCTCAGCAGGGACTGTCATAAGAGTGAGCTTGGCAACCATCTGCATGTCAAGAATGAGGTATGGGAAGACTATTTCTCTTAATATTTATTTATTTTTACTTGAAAAGCAGAGCTAAAGGGAAAGGACAGACAGAGACAGAATGAGGGAGAGAGCAAGAGAGAGAGAGCAAATCTTCATCCACTGGTTCACTCTGCAGCAGCCAGAGCTGGGGTGATTCAGAGCCAGAAGCCTGGAACTCTCCCATGGTAGCAGGGCCCAAGCGCATGCGCCATCTCCTACCACTCTCCAAGTCACATTATTAGGGAGATGCCTCGGAAAGGCATGTGCCAGTGCTGCTGGAGGATATGGCCTATGTCACGGGCCCGGCCCCTGAGTCAATATATTTCAAAGGATATTAGTTTAGGGCTGTTGGTAACGTGTTGACGGCAGGATTTGAAAAAGATCATAGAGAAAACAGCAGAAGGAAAAGGGAGTGGCAAATGAGAAGATACAGGAAGTTGAATCTAAGTCTGGCTAGCTCAGTAAGCCCATGGTCAATTAGCAAACTCCCCTGCCTCTCCAAGGTGATGGTGGCTGAGTCTGCTTGTGACAGGACAGTAATGGCAAGTGGCACTGGAGAGGCAAAAGAGGCTACATACAGAGCTCATAAGGTTCTGGGAAAGTGTGAACATCCTCCTGAAGGCAGTGGGGATTCACTGAAGATTTTTCTTTCTTAAAAAATACTTATCTATTTATTTATTTTGAGAGTTACACAGAGAGGGAGAGGCAGAGAGAGACAAAAAAAGACAGAGACAGAGAAGCATCCACTAGTTGACCCCCCCAAATGCTGGCAACCACCAGTGCTGGGCCAGACCAAAGCCAGGAGCTAGATCCCCCATATAGGTGGCAGGGCCAAATCCTTGAGCCATCCTTTGCTGCTTTTTCCAGGCCACTAGCATGGGGACTGGATTGGCAGTGGAGCAGCTAGGACATGACGTCACAGACAGTGACGTAAACTCACTATGCCACAACACAATTTTAAGTAAGAGAGTCACATGATCAAACTTGTCTTTAAGACAGATCCCTTCTGAGAGCAGAAGCATAGGGAATAGAATGAAGGAAAGGCAACAACACAGGAGGCTACTATAATATGTAAGTCCAGAGATTAATTGCTTTCAATATTTAACCAGAAATAAATACTACTATTTGATGAAAAGCACTGAGTGATCGCATAAAGTTGGGAGTGAAGGAGAGAATGACATTCAGTTTTCCAGGAAGGCCATGTTAGTTGACAAGGGTGTCAATGAGTAAGCTGAAGAAAAAAAAAGCAGCAGATCTGGAAGGTGAGTAATATGAGTCCACCTGAGATTTATATTTCAGTTGAAAGAAAAAAACACCAGTTTGCAGACAACATATGTAATAATAAATTGAAAAAATAGAGGATGCTGAAGAATAGGGAGTAGGACGGAAGACACTGGAGACAGAAAGGAAAAAAGAGGACAGGCATTGGACCACAGGGTATGCTGGCATCTGCTATACCAGTACCCCTATTAGGGCACCGGTTTGACTACTAGCTGCTTCACTTCTGATCCAGCTCCCTGCTAACGTAGAAAGCAAAGGAAGATGGCTCAAGTCACTGCCACCCACGTGGCAAACCCAGATGAAGTTCCTGGCTCCTGACTTCGACCTGGCGGCTGCTTGGGGAGTGATTGAGGCAATGGAAGATCTCTCTACCTCTTGTCTCATTCTCGCCCTCACTCTGCCAAATAAATAAATAAACAAGTCTTCACAAAAATAGAGACGGAACAAGGGAGAAGGCTCCAGATAGAATGGTTTTAGAATCTCAGACCTTATGGACACTTTGGCTTGTTTGAGTTACAGTAAGGTATGGGGGGAAACAGAGTTAAGGAGGCTGAAGTATGGTAGTACTGCATATTTCAACAATGCAGATGGTGAATCCTGAAAGAGGAAAAAAGGGTGAGGGGGTGGGGGGAGTGGGAGGTTGGGGGGAGTGGTGGGCTTGATGACTCAATGTAGAATGGTCATCTACCATATTGAACTGCTGACCCAAGTCCCGGCTCCTCAGCTTCAAACCCAGTTTCCTGATGATGCACTCTGACAGCAATGATGGCTCAAATGGCTGTGTCCCTGTTGTCCATCTGGGAAACCCAGGTAGAGTGCCAGGCTCCTGGCTTCAGTCTGGCCCAGCCCTGGCTGTCATGGGCATTTGAGGAGTAAACTAGCAGATGGAAATACCTCTCTGTCTCTCTCCTATTCTCCGCCTTTAAAATAAATAGACATTTAGAAAAGGATGAAGGGAAATGAGATGGGGAAGGGGGTACAGCTATAAAACTATCTCTGTCTTCTACATGGTTTTTACTGATGATCATTGGTAAAATGGACCCTGGTGTGATAGCCTAGTGGCTAAAATCCTCACCTTGCATGCACCAGGATCCCAATGTGGGCACTAATTCGTGTTGCAGCTGCTCCATTTCCCATCCAGCTCCCTGCTTGTGGCCTGGGAAAGCAGCAGAGGATGGCCCAAAGCCTTGGGACTCTGCAGACCCTGCACCCACAAGGAAAACCTGGAGGAAGCTCCTGACTCCTAGCTTCGGACTGGCTTAGCTCCAGTCAATTTTAGAGTGGCTTAGTTCTTAGCCAGTTTTGGAGTGAAGCATTGGATGGAGTCTCTCCTTCTCTCTATAAATCTGATTTCCCAAGAAAAATAAAATGAATCTTTAAACAAACAAACAAAAGATTGGCAGAATGGTAACAGCTTCAAAGAGGAAAGCTACACAAAAGTAGGTGTCAAAACAAGTGCCCAGAAATGGTAAAGGTAGAGAAAATGCTGGCTGCTCTGTTACAGCCACATGAGGCAGGATGCAAGGCAAGGGCCTTTCCTGGAGGCATTAAGGGTCATGTACCACCAAGGGATGAGAAAATTCAGAATAAATGAAGAAACTATATAAAAGTATTTCAGGGAATTTAGTCAGAACTGAACCTCAGTTCCAGAAGGCGTGAGGTAAATGTAACTAAATCAGTAATGAATGAAAATCAAATGGTCTAGGAAGAAATAGAGATGAATGAATAGGACAACAGCTAAGAAGAGAAATAATACAGAATTAATATTTCTTTCAGGCCCAGCGCAATAGCCTAGTGGCTAAAGTCCTCTCCTGGTATGCACTGGGATCCCATATGGGTGCTGGTTCATGTCCCGGTGGCCCTACTCAGCTCCCTACTTGTGGTCGGGGAAAGCAGTCGAGGATGGCCCAAAGCCTTGGGACCCTGCATCCGCATGGGAGACCTGGAGGAGGCTCTGGGCTCATGGCTTCAGATTAGCTTAGCTCCAGCCATTGTGGCCACTTGGGGAGTGAATCAATGGAAAGAAGATCTTCTTCTCTGTCTCTCCTCCTCTCTGTATATTTGACTTTGCAATAATAATAATAAAAAGAGACTTACAGATCAGCTCATTCGTTTTCCAAGTACTCACAATAGCCTAGGGCAGCTGAAAGCTGGAGCTAGGAAGCCAGCCTGGGTCTCTAATGTGGGGAGCAGGGATTCTAGCATAGGAGCCGCCTACACTGACTCCAAGGATCTGCGTTACCACGAAACTGGAATCAGGAGCAAAGTCAGGTCCTGAACACTGACATTCTGATATGAGATGGAGTTACCTGAACTGACAAAACCACCTTTAGTCCCAATGTTTTATTGAAACACTGGTGTTACTAAAGGTTGAATATTCCTTAATTTAAATGCATAGTATCAGAAGAATTTCATATTTCAAGTCATTCAAATTTTTGGAATACTTGTGCAGCAACCCTAACATTAAAATCTTTCTGAAACCATAAGTTTTTTTGAGTATCACTTCAGATCGAAAAAGCTTCATATTTCTAAGGATTTGAGTCCTCAGATTTTCAGATTAATGATGTTCAACATGGATAGTGCTGATTTAGTATCTTTTAATAATGATGAAAATGTTCTCTATCTGCATTGTCCACCAAGGTAAGCACCAGCTATATGTAGCTATGAAATAATGGAAATACATGTGGTGAGGGAAGGGACAAAGAGCAGTAACATTGAAGTATGCTTCCTCAACTGGTTCCTCCTGTTACTCAAGCAGAATAGAACGCAGAGCACTAACCATGATTAAACATATTCAGTGTAGCTTACAATGAATCAGACTCATAAAGATGCTATAAATACATGCATATATGATCACTTTTTGCTTATTTGTATGTTATCAAGATTTCCATGTAGAAAGGAAAAACATTTACTCTTAGTTACAAATGAAGCTGTGTAAACTATAGAGAATCTGGTTGTTAGGATTACCACAGCACTGAAAATTACCAGCAAATTAAAAGGTTAAGCATACAGGCTCCTAAAATACTTTACTGTATTATACCATATTCTCAGAACAGTGACATAGTAACAGTACTTGCAGAAGAAGACATCTCCAAGTAGCTAGTTGGTTTAATTTAGAAAAGTCAACACAAGCCGACTGGTATCACTGCATGCATTCAGAAGAGTTTAGTTATAGAAGGATAACCAAAGAAACGCACAGAAGAAAAGAGCCATTCTGAACTGCCTCTTTTCGTATTGTTAGACTTGCCTTGGTTTTTTCAAAATTGGCTTCTTCGGTCATTTGCACTGCTTGTTTCACCTGTTCGTACGCACTCGCTTCTCTTTGCTGCACATCTGCCAGGCTGTTCCTTACGGAAACTAATGCGGACATTAAGTCATCTCTTTCTCTGTCAGCACAAAAAGAACATTCAAAACAAGAAATGGTCAAACGATTACGTACTCATCCATGAGGAGGAAGAGTATTAGAAGAAGAGTCATGAGGAGCTGGCTCAAAACACATTAAAGCACACTCCAGAGAAAGATCCTATGTTGGTTACTTGGCAAGCAACAAGCAGAGCGGCCAGAGAGGCTGAGAACATTCCTGGTAGGACCGCATCTGCTGGGGACAATCACCTATTGAGGAGAGAGCTGGCACAGTAGGGAAGAGAGAGTACAAAGGCCAGAAAACAGCAAATTAACTTAAAAGCAAGGATGGGGGGAGGGAAGCAGAAAAGGAAAAGTGCAACAAAGTACTACCTAAGTGCCAGTGTTTTAAGAAAAAAGAAGAGCTGGTTCTCCTCCATTTAGTTGAATGGCAAATAAGTATCCTTTACTTTTTGTTTTCCTCTACATTTTTTTTTTTTTTTTGCTTTTCTCTCAATTCTTTCACTTACTCATAGAACACATTCTTCTCTTTCAATAAGCAGGCCAGTGAGTCCATCAAATCCCTTGGTGACATTTACAATTTAACAAAATCTCATCCCGCTGAGCTTGAGCATTGCCAAGTCCTTCCCCCACTTCAGCCACTCTCATAAGCATCCTAAGCTATTCTGTTTATTGGGGGTAGAAGTGAACTGAATGCCAGCATGTTCTGGCATGTAAAATAGCAAAGATTCATTCTGGTGGGTTAAACAAATCCCACACAAAATATTCCAGGAGGTTGTAATAAAAATGTCCTGCATGCCAAACAGAAAATGAGGGTAAAAAAACTTTATATACACAAATCAGAAAAATGTGTGTTAGATCATTGCATTGTTTTCTTTTGTCCATGCTTTGTTAAAGAGTTTAAGTCTTAAATTGTGCTTTCAAAATCATCTGAAATAAATGCAGTTTCCTTTTCATTGCCAACTTCTAAACTATCAGAAAAGAGCCAACTGTGATTTAAAAAAACTAGCAAACTTTGAAGAGCCACAGTTTAGAAGATTATTTGAATTTGAATTGCTTTTAGAACTAACCAAATTAACTCCATTAAACATGTGGTAAAGGAAAAATAATCTCAACTATCTGTGGTATTTGGAAGGTAGCCATATTTTAAGAATACGTAATACTGAACAATGTTACAATTATTAGTAGCTTCATAACAGCTCTTTTTGCTCAAAGAAATAGTACAAATATCATGAAATTTATGGGATCATGGTGATCCTTACTTTAGAATTCCCTGATTTGTTTCAAAAACATTTTTAAAATGCTGCAGGATATGAAAATAGAAGTATATTGTTTTGATGAAATGAAGTACAATGATCATGTGAAAAAGTGTAAGAATCAAAGTAATGTTAAGTTATTCTAGTTAAGTAAAATGCTTATTAATAGGCAATAGCTAATTTGAATTATTTATATTTCCAACGAAGCACTATGATATAAAAGGGAGATGGCTTCATCAGGGACATGTGATCCTGGGAGGACTTAAACAAACTTCATTCTTTAGGAACAGCAAGTCAGTATAGGTATCTTCCATTTGCCTCTCAAATTTCTATCACTCACTGAAAACCAAAAGTTACCACTTAATTTTATTCTACTCAATTACATTCCTGATAGCATGCCATCAAAAATGCTAACATTCCAAATAAAAATAAACACATTGTAACAGAAATACCACAGCAAGTCAAACTCTATTTTGGTTTTTACTGGAGACTACTATTTAACACGCTTAGTTTCTTTACATAATATTCTCTTGCCAAGAGCACAGCTTGTCACCCAGTAAATACTCAGTGACATAAAAACAAAAGAACACTTGAATGAACTAAAGAATCTGCTTTAAATGGGTACTAAAAGGAGACAAAGTAAAGTTTCTCCCCATTCCTAACATTTTCTGATCTAAACAGAAAAAGCCATCTGAAAATTTAAACTTAGAAATTAAAGAATTTAGTTGTTCTGGTTCAAAAAGAATCAATAACTTCTGAACCACAGAAAATTATCAGAGATAAAGCACCAAATGTCTGTTAAGCTCACCATGAGACCACAAACTGACTATAATAAAAATTTGTGTAACTAAGCCCAGTGTGGTAGCCTAGTGGCTAAGGTTCTTGCCTTGTATGTGCTGGGATCCCTCATGGGCACCAGTTCTAGTCCCGGCAGCCCTGTTTCCCATCCAGGTTTCTGTTTGTAGCCTGAGAAAGTAGTAGAGGACTGTCCAAAACCTTGGGACCCTGCATGAGAGTCCAGGAAGAAATTCCTGGCTTCGGCTCCTGGTTTTGGATTTGTTCAGCTCTGTCGCATTCATTTGGGGAGTGAACTGACAAATGGAAGACATTTTTCTCTGTCTCTCCTTCTCTCTGTATATCATCTGCCTATCCAATACAAACAAATAGAGCTTAAAAAAATTGTGTAACCATTGGATTGACACACTGTAATTTTCTGTCGGATAAACACACTACATGCTTCAAGATGGTCTCTCAATCCATTTCACTAGCTTGGAGGCAGTCATTTTTACAATTTAGGATGATCCATTTGATTTGGGTTATGGTTTTAACTGCCACACCATACCCCAAATACCAAGCAATATAAAGTGGGAGGAAAAGAAAGAAGGGCCTCTAGGTTCAGTAAATTGCAGTCCTACTCTAGAATCATGAGTTTGCAAGGTCAGCCTAGAACCAAACCAGAGATGGAATAAACAACGGAACTAACTCAATGCAGATGACATTGACATGAAAGGGTAGGGGAGCAGCTTCACAAATCACCATGTTTCAATGCAAAAGCTCAGAAAGTGCTTAAAAATAATATGGGACCCAGTTCCAATCCTAGCTACTCCACTTCTGATTGAGCTCCTTGCTAATGTGCCCAGGAAAACAGTTGGAGATGGCCCAAGTGCTTGGGCCCCTGCACCCACATGTGAGACCTGGATGAAGCTTCTGGCTTTGGGGTTCAGCCTGGCCCACCCTGGCCATTTGTAGAGTAAACCAATAGAAGAACAATTTTGCTCTGTAACTCAGTCTTCCAAATATTAAGAAAACAGTATAGAGGGCCCAGCGGCGTGGCTTAGTAGCTCAAGTCCTCGCCTTGAATGCCCTGGGATCCTATATGGGCATCGGTTCTAATCCCGGCAGCTCCACTTCCCATCCAGCTCCCTGCTTGTAGCCTGGGAAAGCAGTCGAGGATGGCCCAAAGCTTTGGGACCCTGCACCCGTGTGGGAGACCCAGAAGAAGTTCCTGGATCCTGGCTTCGGACCAGCATAGCATGGGCCATTGCGCTCACTTGGGGAGTGAATCATCGGATGGAAGATCTTCCTCTCTGTCTCTCCTCCTCTCTGTATATCTGACTTTCCAATAAATAAATAAATAAATAAATAATAGTATAGAAATGTTCTGATGAATGTGATTAAGGAATGGATTGAAGCAAAGCAAACACAGCATTAATTCTGTAAATTTCTGATAACAGTGCACTTGATGATGTAAACAACACGAGCTCTGGAATGAAAAAGCAAGCACTTGTAAATACAGATGAGCATCTACTAAAAAAGCAAATTAGTGTAATAGAGCAGCAAATACTGAGAGTTCCTTTATGATCATAACCAACTTTTTAAGTAAAAGGGAGATTATTTCTAATAAACACCGATGTGCATGAGTTTTATATTGAAATATAGAGCACCTATGAAATGTCTCATAATTATTCACCTATGATATTATCAATGTTATGCATATTTAAGTATTACTAATGAATATTATTACTACCATTTTTAAGAAGAAAGTCTAAAACTGGCTACAGTATTTCTTTGTTGCCTATTTCTGGGAAGTTCCTGCTTTAGTTTTCAAAGCCAACTATGCAGAACACTGCCAATGATCCATTCCAAAATCCCAAGCTCAGCTAAAGCCCCTGGACAGCACTGTGGTGACTTGGAACGCACGCTGACACTTCTCCAAGACATTATGAGGTACAGAAGGGGATTTAACATAAGGCAGCTCCATCCTGATCATCATTTGAAGGTTCTTTGATCATTATACAAGAAAAATGGGTTACTGCTAGTCTTACATACATTATGGTACATAGAGGCCTGAGTAAAAAGCAGATATTTAGAAAAACCATTAATACTTCCCCAAAACTTTCTGAGATCCCAAGCTGTGACTGATCCTTTCCTTGCCAACCATACAAGTCACTCTTGTACAAACAATATAATAAGGGGGCCTGGCGTGGTGGCCTAGCAGCTTAAGTCTTTGCCTTGAATGTGCCGGGATCCCATTTGGGTGCTGGTTCTAATCCCGGTAGCTCCATTTCCCATCCAGCTCCCTGCTTGTGGTCTGGGAAAGCAGTGGAGGACGGCCCAAGGCCTTGGGACCCTGCACCCGAGTAGGAGACCTGGAAGAAGTTCCTGGTTCCTGGCTTCAGATTGGCATAGCATCAGCCGGGTGTGAATAATCAGACGGAAGATCTTCCTCTCTGTCTCTGCTCCTCTTTGTATATCTGACTTAGCAATAAAAATAAATAAATCTTAAAAAAAAAAGAGTGTAATAAGGGATCTTAAAATTGATTTCACAATATTTCCAGAAGAGACCAAGAAAATCATGATTGGTCATTTGTTTTTAAAGTTCAATGTTAGAAATCAGCTATGAATATGAAATAATAACTTATTAAGACACGCAGGCTTCTAACTATATTTGGAACTAGAAATCCAATCCTAAAAAGTGTTGGGAACTTTTCAAAGTCAATATAACATTCAACATTCAACATTCTACACTGATAAGCTGCAAAAAAAATAATGCCAGCTTAAGCAAAGGGAATCATGTGGACAGAAATGTAGACAGAATCTTCCATTCACAACAAACGCAACATCCTTTCACTGTATTGTTACTAGAGCGGATCCTGCGACTGATACACTGACACAGCTGAAAACTGAACTAAGTAGATTTAACATTTATTTTAATAGGGTAAGATACAAAATTTAAGATAAAGGAATATAAAACTGAGCAAAAGCTGAATGTGTAAATGACTGTCAGACTTATAACTGAAGTAGACATTATGACTTCCTTTTAAAGCAATTCTCTCATGATGTAGAAAGATAAAATGAAAAACAATACAATGGGGGGGGATTTTTAAAATTTTATTGGTTGATTTTGCTGGACTACCTAGCTTTAAACTTTGCCTTTCTATATAAATTTGAATGCATATATATGTATATAGACTTTTCCATTTATAAATCCATTTTTCCATTATTATTCCCTTTCCAAAATGATCAATATGGTTAAATACCTATTTGTTACACACTTTTTAAATTTTTTTTATTGGAAAGGTAGATTTACAGAGAGAAGGAGATACAGAGAAAAAGATATTCGTCTGTTGGTTCATTTCCCAAGCGGCCTCAATGGATGGAGCTGAGCAGATCTGAAACTAGAAACCAGAGGCTTCTGTGACTCGCACACAGACACTGGGTTCCAAGACTTTGGGCCATCCTCTACTGCTTTACCATGCCACAGGCATGGGGCTGGAAGGGAAGTGGAGCAGCCGGGACACAAACCGGTGCCAATATGGAGTGCTGGTACATGCAAGGCCAGGATTTATTCATGAGGCTATTGCGCCGGGCCTACACTTTCAGTTTCAGCGCATTCTTCCATCTCTCCAGTGGATGTCACTATTCAATATTTGATGCTTATTTTGTCAAATCTTTTTCTATGAATACTGTAAACCTATGGAAGTTATATAATACATGGACTTCAGAAAATGCAGTTTTCTATAAACTGGGTATGTCTTTAGCTATCTGAAACTCTGTCTCCTTTCATTAATATATTTTGGAACACTCTCCATTAGTATACATAGATTCCATTGCATTCTTTTTGTGGACTGTCTATAAAATTTCACCATTTATTTAAAACACAATTTAATCTTATACCATACAAAGAATACTGCAAAAATTATTCCTTTTAAAGACCCCCAGGTGCATAAATGAGACTTTTTTTTTTAGGGTAGATTTTAAAATGGAAAATGCACAATTTAAATATCAAGTGATAGTACCATATTACCTTCCAAAGCAGTTGTGTTCATTTGCAGTTCCACCAGCAAGGAATGCAGTTACTCACTCACTTGTTACCTCACCAACTCTAGTGATAAGTTGTCTTCAGTTTTTGTTGCTCTGGTATTTTTCACACTGTTTTACTTCTTCTTTTATTGTTTACCAATTTCTATTTTTCATCCACTTGGTTGTTTTTATTTGTTTCAACAGAAAATCTTTATATCTCCTCTCAGTCTCATTACATTTGACAAAGACATTTTCTCTTTGAATTAAAAATTTGTACTATTTTATTGCATTAAATTTCAAGAATAATGCAGGATTTGTAATTTTAGAAACATCAAACTAGACATAAATAAATAGAAATTATCTAGTGCAATTCTCTCACTCAAGACAAGCTGAAACCAAGAGCTAAAGTTCTCTGTCCAAGGTACCATGGTCATCAGAATTGGCAGGGACTATCAATTCTGTTCTCAAGAAAGCTACAATGAAAGAACCTTTTAAGATTCATTTTATTTGAACCCTAACATTAATCATGTGATTTAGCATGGGAATAAAAGAATTCTCCCTGTTGCCCCAGACTGTGATGGCTGCATACTTACTTGGTCAGTCTCTCGATGGTCTTCAGGTGCACATTGTGATGGGTTTGGGAAAGAACAGCTTCATGCTGAGCACATTTCAAACAAAGACCACCAACACGATCAGAAACATTCACAGCAAGAAGAGACTCTTTCTGTTTTAGTTGCTCTTTAAGATCTTCACAATTTTTCTGATATTCAGCTAAGCCTTTCCTAAAAAGAAAGGAAAAGACTGCTAGGGAATGACCAGGTAAAACAAACTTTCAAACTTTCATCTATAGGTATTTTTCTTTTGAGGTGCGGTAAGAACAAATTCTTAACCATAATCACAAAATGTAGATGTGATTATCATAACTGGCATGTTAATATAACAAAACCTGATTATATTAAATAAATAGCTGTGGTTCCTGCAAGATTTTATAAAAATTAGAATCTGCCTCTAAGACTGACTTTCTTTTCAAAGGATCCTATCTATATTGACACTGTATCACCTCCCCACCTAACATACACACTCCAAATATAAATCCTAAACCATTTTATTTATTTATTTATTTTTATTGCAAAGTCAGATATACAGAGAGGAGAGACAGAGAGGAAGATCTTCTGTCTGGTGATTCACTCCCCAAGTGATTGCAGTGGCCGGTACTACACTGTTCCAAAACCATGAGCCAGAAACTTCCTCCAGGTCTCCCACGCGGGTATAGTGTCCCAAGGCTTTGGGCCATCCTCAACTGCTTTCCCAGGCCACAAGTAGGGAGTTGGATGGGAAGCGGGGCTGCTGAGATTAGAACGGGCACCCATATGGGATACCAGCACATACAAGGTGAAGACTTTAGCCGCTAGGCTACCACGCAGGCCCCTGTCCTTGTTTTTACTTTGTGGGCTTGCCCCTCTTGATGAGGTTTTTCTCCAAACTGACTACTTAAGGATTAAGTGATCAACGTTGTCTTACCCCACCCTATGAATTTTTTGGTAAAAATCAACTCAGGTAACTGAACTACAATGTCTAAATGGTCCTAACCTAGCATATATTTTTATGAACAAAATTATTTTCTTCCTCAGAGAAGAGACGGCTGCCCTTAAGTTCTTGGACTAATGAATGCAAGCATTTACTTTCTCACTAGCTCAGCATTCTCCCTGTTGTCAGAGTGTCTATTTTGGGGGCTTGCAGCTCTCTTAACTTGCTCACTGTCATGTGGACGTTAACAAATCAATCTCTGACTGCCGTATTCTTGGGATTTTAAGTGGGCTCAAAAAGTCCAAACAAACTGCAAAAGATTCATAAGCCTGTAAGGTGTTAAAAATCTAATGGCAGTTTGAAATTGAAAATAAAAGAACAAAGTCTCATTTTCATGAAAAACAAATCTTTGAAAACACATTGCAAAGTCTAAGGAATTTGTCATGTTCAAATCTAAAAAAATTAAACAGAAACTAAAAATAGCAAAAAGGGGAAATTAAAAATAAATAGTTATTTTGTAGTCAAGAGTTTGAGACTACTTTCTTTAACAAAATTTCTCTTTTTTAATATTTATTTATTTGTTTACTATTTATTTATTTGAAGGTCAGAATGAGAAGAGAGACAGAGAGTGAGACAGAGAGAAAAAGAGAGCCTTCCATTCCTGTAGGGGCTGAGCCAAGCTACAGCCAGAAGCCGGGGGCTTTCCTGGTCCCTGCTGTGGCTGTAGTGTCCAAAGCATTTGGGTACTCTTTCTGTGTTTTCCTAGGCACATTAATAGGGAGCTGGATCATAAGGGGAACAGCTGGGATCAAGAAGTGACCTGCTTCTTGATGGGAAGGGACAGATGATGGTTTAGGAGTTTGAGTCCCTGACACCTATGTGGGAGACCCAGAGTAACCTTCATCTTGGCACTGAGAGGCAAATCAGAGGATGGAATATCTTCCTGTCTCTTTCCATTCGGCAGTCATTCAAACAAAATGAAATAACTTCTAACTGGAAAATGATAAATTCATTTCTGTTGTCCTTTTCTAATCATTATGTATAAATCTTAAGTGTTTAATCTAAAATTTACAGGTTTTGTTAGGGTTTACAGGACAGAATTTACAAAAAATACACTCATACACGCTCCAATCTGTCATGTCTACAACTACATGAATTACTGTTGTCATAATCTGAAAAGTAGATCAGTATGTACAGAGCAAAATTTACTTGCAATTTGAAAATGAAACTATTTTTATTATCAGTGTTTCATCTTATAAGCATAATTTTCACAACAGCAACTAATGGTTCTCATTTCTATGAGAAAATACAATATTTTAGGAAAGAAATTTGAAAAAAAAAACCTTATAGAAATGGGATTTGCAAAAGGAATCTGAATTTGAAGCCACTTTAGCCTTTAGCAGTCTGAGAAAACGTTTTCTGTCACATATGCAATTTCATCAAGTCGTGCTGGGAGGGTATTCAGCGAAACTGCTTAACATGCCCGTGTCCCGCATCACAGTGCCCAGGCTTAGTTTCAGGCACTGATTCCTGACACCAGCTTCATGCTAATGCTGACCCTGGGGGACAGTGGCAGATCGCAGTTTGGCTCATGCCACTAAATGGGAGAGACCTGGGTTGAGTTCCTGGCTCCTGGCTTTAACCTAGCCATCGCCAGCTATTTGGTTATTTGGGGAATGAACCAGGAGATGTGAGATTTCTGGCTATTTCTCTGGCTGTCGATCTTCTTCTCTGTCAAATAAAGAAAATTTTGTCAAATAATTCCAACTTGAATGCAACTGACAGTTCAATGAACACTATACAGATGTTCAGAACATTGCGCTTTTGTTAAAAGTATAAAGGGATGATTTCACTTTACCTTAAAGACTTCAGTTGAGATTCCAGGAATTCACCCTTTTCCTCATAGATAAGTTTTAGCCTCTCCTACAGGAAAGGGGAGAAAAAGTAAACTTTATTCACGTTACGTGTTTTGCAGGCTATTTTAAAGCCATTGTGACCACTTGAGAGTGAACCAGTGAACGGATGACTTCTCTGTGTCTCTCCCTAACTCTGCCTTTCAAATAAATGAATAAATACATACATGCACACGTTTCTTTTAAAATCCCTCTTCTATTAAAAAATGGGGAGAGTCCATCAAAACACAAAAATTACATGCCTTTCTCACCAGCAATGAAGTTTTGGTAAATGAAAACTTTATAACTTGTGTTTAAATATATCATCCCTCTTTGTAGCTTGCCTTATTAATTCTTCTGATAATTGATGGTTATGATGTAAGTTTTTGATAATCTGCTTCTGATAGAATCAAAAATAACAGATGAGAAACATTCTAACTTAAGATATATAAGACTTTTATTTAGAAAATTCTAAAAGGTAATTGGTAAAAATTAAAGATTACTTAAATTGAATGATACGTGGTTTACAAGGATTAGATGATATAACGGCATTATAGGAGTCGAAAAAACTATAATTTAGTCAGTGTAAATCAAGTCTCATAATGACTTTTAGAAACGTGATAATTTTAAAACATATTTGAAAATGCAAAAGGTCAGAGACAGTGGAGGTTGAAAACAAAGAAACAAAGTTGAAAACAAAGAAAACTGTTGGAGTAGTTGGACTACCCAGATTCAAGGCCCAGTAAAAGATAACACAGGCAGAGACAGACCTCTATATAGAGGGACAGCTAACTAACTGGTGACAAACGCACTGCCATAAAAGCAAGAAACTGCCTTTTGAACAAATGGCACTTCATTCGATATGTTGAATGACATGGGAAAAGAACAAAATGTGACTTATACATTTCACATCATAAATAACAAATAAATTATAGGTGGACTGTAGATCTAAGTGTAAAAAGCAAAAATAAAGTTTCTGGAAGACAACCTCATCATGTTTTGGGGGCATGAAGAAACTTCTTTAACAGGACATCAAAGACATTGCACAGATATAACATTCTAGCGATCAAAGTAAATATGCAAGAAATTATTAAGACAATTAATAAGGTAAGCCCTAGAGTGGAATACAACACTACAATACATGTAAATCACAAAGGGCTTGTATGAAGAACAGATAAAGATTTTTAAAAAATAAACACATCAGATACCTCAATAAAAATAATGAGGATTTTTGAACAGGCATTTCAGAAGACATCAAAATGGCCAATAGACATGATATTCAATCATATGACTAATCAAAGAAATACAAATAAAAATCATAAGGCAGCACCAAAAGTTCATAAAAATTGGCAATATCATATCCTGGCAAAAATAAAGCAGCAGTGGTGTCACTAAGGTGCTGTTGGTAGAAGTGTCAAGTGATAGAATCATCTGGGAAGCTGCCACTGCCCACTCGAGTTGAACAAAGACACATTCTAAGACTAAACATTCCACTTCAAGACATACGTATAATATAAATGTGTGCAGTGCACACTAATAAACATCTAAAAGGATATTCATAGCAGTAATATTCACACCTGATCCAATGGATAAATAAGGTGTGGTATATTCAGATAGGGAAAGCACCATAACTTCTCCCAAAATGTAACAACATTGATGAAATTAACAAAAACAATGATGAATAAGAAAAATGACAAAAAAGAATACATAGGACTCCATTTATATTAAGACAAATAGGCAGAACTTATTTATTTGAGGAATGCATACTTATGTAATTTTCCTAATAGTCAAGAAATGATTACCTTTAAGGAAATGAAGGGACAGTGGTTGAGAGGGGGCAAAGAGAAGATTTGTGGAGCATGATAATGTTATGTAGTTCAACCCAAGTGATAATTAAGCAGATGTTCATTTTAGAGATAAATCATTAAGCTATAAATCTTCATTTCACATATTTTGCCCAATGAATATGAAATTGTGTCATTAAAAAATGTAAAGGTGGAAGGCATGATCCCTAAGGTAGGGAAAGCTACTGCAAAGTTTAGGATTAGGACTGACAGATGCAGGTTATTGATAAGTTTTAAATATCAGGCCTTGGGCCTGGCATGGCAGCCTAGTGGCTAAAGTCCTCACCTTGCACATGCTGGGATCCCGTATGGGTGCTGGTGCATGTCCCAGCAGTCGCATTTCCCATGCAGCTTCCGGCTTGTGGCCTGGGAAAGCAGTTGAGGATGACTCAAAGCCTTGGGACCCTGCACCCAAATGGTAGACCTGGAGGAGGCTCCTGACTCCTGGCTTTGGATCAGCTCAGTTCCAGCCACTGTGGCCATTTGGGGAGTGAACCAGCAGATGGAAGATCTTCCTCTCTGTCTCTCTTCTTCTCTGTATATCTAACTTTCCAGTAAAAATAGATGATAAATAAATCATTAAAAAAAAGAAAGAGCAGTCCTCGTGGATCAGGGGTCTGAAGCTCAATTGAAGATTACTAATGTAAGAATGGGAGGTAAGAAATGAAGAAACTTTAAAAGAGTTTCAGCATAAGGGAGGGCAACAATGATGGCTGGGAAGAAAAATAGGATTGACAAAATTGACAAACTACCCTGATTTAAAAAAAAAAAAACTGTCCTAAATATACCCAAAGAGCTATAAGAAAAACATCACAAAGAATGAAAGGGCATCAGCAAAACCACAGTGAAAGGAAACAAGCATATATCTTAAAGCTCAAAAAAATGTAATAACTGAAATGATAAATTCACTACCAGAGATTAAGAGCACCTTTGAGAAGCAGATTACTGAACCTGAGACAAGACAACAAAAATTATCAAGTTTGTGAACAAGAAAAAAATAAAAATTATTGTATCATCTAGCAATGTATTAGAGTACATTCTGGGAATATACTCAAAAAAGTCCAAAGAAGAGACTCAAAACTTGTACAGCAATATTCATAGAATATTTATAATAGTCTAAAGGTAGAAACAAATGTGCATGAAATGATGAATGGATAAAGTCAGTATATATGTACAATTAATATGATCAGCCCCCAAAATAGAAAACTTGTAAGTTATACCATAGATAAACCTTGAAAACATTATGCTAACTGAAATAAGCCAGCAATAAAAGGAAAAATATTTTTGATTAACTATTCAGAAAAGGATAATAGATAGAAACAGAAAGTAGGATAAAAATGATCAAATGGTGGGAACAAAAAAGAAAATGAAGTTATTTCTTAATAAGTATAGAGAGTTTGGGATGATGGAAAAGTTCTAAAAATGGATAGTGTTGGTTGTATAACATTGTATACGCACTTAATGTGCATTAGTTCTATACTTAAAATGGCTATGATGGTATACTTTTTTCAAATTTTAAAAAGCATATAAAAAAGAGCAGACACATAAAAGAAAATAAACTAAATAATCACCAGTTCTAGTTTCCATTTTTCAGCCTCATTTGAAGATGCAGTTCTGCCAACATGTGCACTGCCGTGGGAGAACGGTCTCTTGGCAGCTTCATCTACCTTAGAACCTTCGCCTGTTATAATCCAAGAATTTTGCATGTTTTCCTAAAAACACACACACACACACACACAAAGAATTACAGTTGGTACTCAATTTCAATCAAATGAGTATTTTACAAAGGGAATGATAATTCCTATCTATGCTGAGAGGAAAATGGAACAACACGTTTCTAAACGGTAAGCCAAAAATCATTTCACATTTTCAGGCTATCAGGATTACATTCCTAATAGGTGCTACAAAGTCAAATTCCTATAGTAACAGGCAATAATCCAGTAGTGAGTAAGGAGGGTTAGGTTTCAGAGTAGTCAACAAGTGGAATTATCCCTTACTCCTCTGAAGACAGATTCACCTTTCTTATTTTTAAAAATTATTTTCTGCATTTCAAAGGCAGGTAATTTATAATTATTGTTAGCATTTACAGTATTTACCAGGTACAAGACAATATTTTATTTGTTTTACATGGATTATTTTATTTTATGATAGCAATCCTATGAGACAGGTTCCACCAATGCCTTCATGTTACAGATGAGAAAATTCAGTCACACAAAGTAACTTGTGAAGGTTCACAGAAGTGGGAAGCAGCTAACAAATGGCTGGAATAGCATTTGTGCCCTGGCAATATGGCTCCAGAGTCCACACATATGATATAATAAGAAACATGTACTTATCCTCTTTCCCTGACTGTTGACCTAAAACCCTCAGCACTTTTTAATGAAGAGTGTCTTCTATTGTATTATTTGGCCATCGTCCCCAGTTTCTGTCATAAGCTCTTTTACCATCTTTAAAATCTCCCAAGACTGGAGTTGATAGGCACATACACATACTAGAACATAGCACATCCAACTACACAGAAAGAACCTCCTGCTCTTGGTGCCTCCTGGACCTTATCCTGTTTATCACTTCATCTGTCTGTTCATCTGTATGTTTCATAATATCCTTTATCCTAAACCAGGAATAGCATGTGAAATGCTTCCATGAGTTTCACAAGTTACTATACAAATCATCAAACATGAAGAAAAGGTTGTGAAATCCTCTGATATGTAGCCAAGTGAGGCAGAATTGTGGGTAACATGGAGCCCTACTACGTGGAATGGCACCTGAAGAGTGTGTGTGTGTATGTGTGTGTGTGTGTGTGTGTGTGTGTGTGAGAGAGAGAGAGAGAGAGAGAGAGAAAGAGAGAGAGAGGGAGAGTGTGCAATCTTGTTGGATTGAGTCCTTAATATGTGCTGAATGATAAAAATTCTGGGTAGATAGCGTCAGGATTAGATTAACTCATTGGACATAAACTTCATGTCTACAGAGAGGAGAATGGAATGATATGGAAGGTAAATCTCAAATATTTGGTGTCAAGGAATGCTTTGAATAGAGAAAAAGGAACAGATCTTTTTTCTCTTGAATTCCTTAAATTATGATGTTCTTTCTTTACAGAAAAAAACATTCATCTTGAAAGTATACACAAAAAAGTATACATGTGGTGATGAAGATAGCTGACGGGCAGCCTTCATGTCAGGAGAGGAACGGCCAGGACAACGCACTGCAACATGTCCCATGCAATGGAGAAGCAACTACTCAGCTCCTGACAAGCACCTTCATGCAAAATGCAAACTCAGGAGGCCTGCAGTGGGACACCGGGTGAAGCTGCCACTTACACTGACAGCAGCCACAGTGGAGTGGCAGAAGAGGACGGCCCAAATGTCTGGGTCCCTGCTATCGGATACCAGTAGGCAGTTTCAGTTGACTGGCTTTGGCATGGAAGAGATCTGGCTATTGTGCCTATTTGGAGAGTGAACTCTTGGATGGGAAAATCCCTCTTTTTTTCTCTGCCTCTATAGTCTATCTTTCAAATAAATAAATCTTAAAAAAAATTTTTTTAAAGCATGTAAGTTTATATTACCAGAAAATCCTTTTTTTCACCCTTTTCTGTAAGCTAGGTCAGATATCTGCCTTTTTATTTGAAATGTTGTTAAAATAAAAACTTGGTTCAAAGTTTGTCACACAGAAAAAGCATGTTTACAGGATGAACTTGGAGTGTCCACTGTTAGTTTGTATTATTAGCTACCCTGTCAATTACCAGTGACATAAACAGTTAAAATCCAAGTTGTTACATGCAACAAGCACTAAATATTTATACTAATTCATATGAAAATTGAATACTTGATAAGTACAAAAATACATGGTAATACTCACAAGAGAGGACAGCATCCAAGCACTGAATCACATGACAGTGTCATAATCATGCTAGAATGTGGTAAACTGAATTCACTGTAAGTAGCATTCTGAGATTCTATTCCACAGTCTTAAAGTTCAGCATAGGGCAAAAGTTTGTACCAGCATCTGCTATGTTCAGACACTGTGCTAAGAGCTTGGAGGACAAAAATGAGCACAACCAGTCTCAGTTTTGAGGAGTTTACACTCTGATGAAAAAGACAAATCACCTCAGCGGGTAATTCCAATTTGTAAAGTAAACTGAATAAAGAAGATCGCATGAAGAACTACCCCGAACAGAGGAGGGGTACTAAGAGCAAGCAGAAATTTAAGCCACTGCCTGTGATGCCAGCATCCCATAAGGCCATTAGTTTGTGCCCTGGCTGTTTTGCTTTCAAGTTCCCCTCTTATGTGTCTAAGAAGGCAAAGGAAGATGGCTCACATGCATGGGCCCCTGCCACCCACATGGGAGGCCTTGCAGGAAGCTCCTGGCTCCGGACTTCAGCTAGGGAATTATGACCATCTTAGGAGTACACCAAGAGAAGCTGTCTTTGCACTCTCCATACTTACTTCCATAGCGGAAGTCAATGTTGAATGATATGTAATCAACATTTTAAATATTTAAGTATATCAAATTCCTGATGATCACTGCAAAACTATTTATTTTAATTAAGGGGAAGGTTAATTTTAACTGAGTGGAAAGGATGAGAACAAACATGGAAAGAAGCAGCTAAGAAATTCCGTACTTAGAAAATATTTCTAATAAAACTAGATCTAGGGCCCGCGCGGTGGCACAAGTGGTTAAGGTCCTCACCTTGCACACCCGGGATCCCATATGGCCGCTGGTTCTATTCCCGCAGCCCCGCTTCCCTTCCAGCTCCCTGCCTGTGGCCCGGGAAGGCAGCTGAGGATGGCCCAAGGCTTTGGGACCCTGCACCCACGTGGGAGACCTGGAAGAGGCTCCTGGCTTCGGATTGGCATAGCATCAGCTGTTGCGCTCACTTGGGGAGTGAATCATTGGATGGAAGATGTTCCTCTCTGTCTCTCCTCTCTGTATATCTGCCTTTCCAATAAAAAAATAATAAAAATAAATCTTAAAAAAAAAAACCTAGATCTAGTAAAACACATTTTCTGGGCCCGGCGTGGTGGCGCAAGTGGTTAAAGTCCTCGCCTTGCACGCCCGGGTTCCCATATGGGCGCCGGTTCTAATTCTGGCAGCCCCGCTTCCCTTCCAGCTCCCTGCCTGTGGCCTGGGAAAGCAGCAGAGGACGGCCCAAAGCCTTGGGACCCTGCACCCACGTGGGAGACCCGGAAGAGGCTCCTGGCTTCGGATCGGCATAGGCATAGCATCGGCCGTTGCGCTCACTTGGGGAGTGAATCATCGGATGGAAGATCTTCCTCTCTGTCTCTCCTCCTCTCTGTATATCCGCCTTTCCAATAAAAAAATAATAAAAATAAATCTTTAAAAAAAAACACATTTTCTAATGAGTATGTCTTAATATTATTATATTTAACCCAGAGAAGTTTTCCATGAAAACAAGCTTTATAATAACAAAAAGTGATGAAAAATATAGAAATGAAATAAATTTTTGAATGATTTTAGTCTTTAAAAAATTGCCCGCTTACTTCTAACATCTAGGTCATAAACTAGGCCAAATGCTAAAAGTCTCATAGGCTACCATCCAAGTCAAGGGGTGACACTGAGAGACAGCAAAAAGGAAGTTCTTCTCTGCTGCGGAAAACTTCTATGCCCTCCAAACAACAATAGCTTGCTTCAAAATTGACACATCTTTCCTAATCTGTGCACAATAATACTATACTTTGGGATTGATAGATTCAGAGTTAGACAGCTCTGGGTTTAAATCCTTGCCTGCCAGTTTTTTTTTCCTTAGCTCTGTGGTAGTTTGCCAGTTAATGACTCAATAAACTGTTGATACAGTGCTGAGCACATTGCAACCATGCAGTCATCAAGAAATGTTAGTTACTATAATGTAAGAATTTTAATTATTTTTCCAAAATCAACATTAGGAAATATGGAAAATCTATATGCAAGTCAACTCTTTGATTCAACACTTTGGCTTCAACACTTTGATTCACTAAAAAATCCTCGCTCTTACAAAAGGAGATCTATTGATCTACTTACTTTGAAGAGATCCTATAAAGCTTTATTTACATTATAACTGCCAGTATAGCACAATGAGCACCATGAATACATTGCTGAAATGTCTCAATTCACCCACAATTAAAAAAGGTAACTGCTTCATAACCACAAATAAGACAGAAATTTAGCATTAAATAAATATCAAGACAACTGATGTATGCGTAATGGCCATTTCAATATTTGCATTGGATTTTAGCTCAAGTGACTGCCTAAACAAAACAACAACACTTTCGCATTCTTGTCCTTTCTTTGATTATAACTGCTGTTTCTGAAGCAAACTTCCCTTGCTCATACTGCGAGGCATGTGAGCTTTTACCACTGTTTCCTTCCTCTTTTGCATTACTCACTTCTCTTGATCTCTGATTCACTTGTCTGCCCAATTTCCTTTCTGACTTGACTTCCCCTTCTTCCACTCCTGTCACTGTAAAAACACTGTAGATTATGAATAACTGAATCATTCTTCGCTAAGTAACTACACATTTGGAAGAAAAGCAAGAGAATTTATTAGTTGTCAAATGAGCTACTTCTAAATACAATCCATATGGTGATATCCTCAAACTGGCACTAAAATAGGAAGTAGCTAAGATGAAATTTTTAGACACTAATATTAACAATTATGTAAATCTTCAGAAAGAAGTTACATGGTAAGTGAAAAGTAACAGAGTGCAACTTAAATGTATTTGTAGAAAAATAAATGAAAATACTAACAGCTTACTTTTTCAAAATTAACTAGACATTTCTAAATAACAAATAACATATAACTAAAGGATTGCAAATATCTGGTCAGTTTTTTCAAAATGCAAATTCAAAAAAATTAGAAGATAACTAGGCAAATAAATTAAAATCTGTTTTCTTAACTGAATGCTAATGACAACTAACTCAAAACCACTAAGGTTCACTGTACAGTAAAGCTACACCAAGCAAGTATTAAAACTTCCCCCATTGAAAGCTTGGTTTGTTTCAAAAAAGCGGAACAGGCTATAATTAACTACCTTGCATAGCAAAGCAATGAAAAAATGCTTTACGGCAAAAGTATTTCAGACAAGTCAAAAGAAGATACTAGAAACAGTTAAAATACCGTCGCAAGAATCCATGCCACAGAATAGAAACAATTCAGATCACTGTTCTTCAAACTGGGATACTTACACAAGAATCACGTGGGTATTTTAATAGTTCATGTTGCCAAGACTAAACTAGACTTTCTGAATCCGAATCTCATGAGCACAGAGCCTAGGAATTTGTACTGTCAATCCCTGATATTAGTAAATTTTCTCAGATTATCAGTAAAAAAATACAGGACCTGTCTGGTTAAGCAATGCAATGTCCTATAAAACTACTTACTAAACCCCCAGTTTCTTAGGCATGTGGTAAGACCCTTATTTTGATTTTTGGAACCTCAGGCCAACATTCTTTCTGCTGCACCATGTTGCTGCACTTACTTGACTACAGAATTCAAGGAAAATCCATAGAAATCCAAGCTAAATTTGTTAAAATTTCTTTTTTTTTTTTCTTTTTTTTTTTTTTATTGTTGCTTACATTGTATTATGTAGTACAGTTTTATAGGCGCTGGGGATTCCCCCCACCCCTCCCATACCCCTCCCCCCATGGTGGATTCCTCCACCTTGTTGCATAACCATAGTTCAAGTTCAGTTGAGATTCATTGCTTGCAAACACATGCCTAGCATAAAGTTCAGCGTCTTATTGTCCAGATAAGTCCAGTGGCCTCTTGGGGAGACCTTCTATGGTCTGAAGATAGGTCTAACAGAGTAAAGATCCGGTCAGTTAAAAGCCCCAACAAGGCCTCAGTATCAATATACAACATTATGGAATTAATTGACATAGTATTGGGTAAACAATATGTTAAAAATAATGCAAGTTCCCTTCTTCGAAACAACATCCGTCTTATATACACAATTCCTATTTTCAGAAAAAATAACACCAATAGCATGCTTAGAGAGGAACTATAGTAAACTTTAGGCACTATCATTCATTGAAGACTTTTCCTAGTAGAGTAAATTTTTATTTTGGGGGTCTTAAATAAACACAGCACAGTACTCTAGCCAAACCTCAAGAGCAAAACTAAGAAGTTCCGAAGACTAGGGGAGAAGTTAAGAAGTGTAATATTCAAAATTAAACAGAACTGGGATTTATAAAAATGCTCACAGATGTATCCAGAAATGTCTGTTCCCTCAACGTCTCCTCTTGTCTTTGAGATTTCATTGCTTGCTGGAGCTTTTCATTTTCAAGTACAACTACTTGTATCCTATTTTTCATTCCAGAGAGTTCCTCCTATAAAAAAGAGAAACCAAAGTAAGTTAAACATATTCCAGCAGTGATTTCTGTATTTCCTCTCTGTAAACCTGCCTTTATTAGGGTAAATAACAAGGAACAAATTGTTGGATAAAGAATATGCCCAGCTGTGTAATAAACTGCCAAACTATTTTCTAAAGCACTTGTACTATTTTGCTTTCTGACAAGCTTTGGTTAAGTTCACAGTACTCTGTATCTTAGCATTTGTTGTTGGCAATGATTTAAACCATTCCAATAGGTGTGCAGTGTTTTCTCCTTCTTTTTGATTCCATAAGGACAATGTTGAGCTCGTTCTGTATGTTTACCTGTTTTTTTTACATGTTCTTTTGTGAGATACTGTTTGAGATCTTTAACCCTGTTTTTAAACATTTAATTTCATAATAGCTTTAAATTTGGAAAATAAAAATTGTGAGATGGTACTATACAGAGTCACACATAGCCCTCACCTGATTTCTTGCTAATTCTTTATGATTAATTAATTACACACAGCTTCCTCTACCCATTTTAAAAATTGGGTTGTATATTTTCTTATTGTTGAATTTTAAGAATTCTTTATATATTTTTGAAACAACTCTTTTACAAATGCTTTCTCCCACTTAGTAGCTTGACTTTTGTTATCTTAACAATACATTTTATACAACAGAAAAAAATTCATTTTGTTGAAGTTCCACTTATCTAATTTTTCTTTCATGAGTCATGGTTTTAGTGTTGTACTTTAAAAATTCATTATCAAATGCTAGGTCACTTATATTCTCTCCTCTCTGTTTCCTATTGTTTTGTAATTTTGTTTTACAATTAGATCTATATTCCATGTTGAGTTCATTTAGTCTTTAGTAAGGTACAAAATCTGTGTCCAGAGTAATTTTTGCATGTGAATTTCCAATTGTTCAAAAACCATTTTTTGAAAAGATTAACTCCATTGAGTTGCCTCTCCTTTTTTTATTCGGTAGAGACTTATTTTTATGTATCTTGAGGATCAGAGTTATAGAGGGGGCTGGTACACAGAGAAATAGGGGCGGAATGCCTGTTAATGTGCTAGTTAACTCCTCAGATAGCCACAGTAGCTGCTCTTGGGCCAAGCTGAAGCCAGGATCTGCCTCCAGGTCTCCCAGATGGGTGTCAGGGGCCCAAACACTTGGGCCATCTTCCCCTGCCCTTCTCCCACCATTAGCAAATAAGCCAGATCAGAAGTGGAGCAGGCAGGACTGGAACTGATGACCCTGTGGGAAGGTAGCTTTGCAAGCAGCCAGCTTTCCTAGCGCAATCACAGTGCTGACCTCTGGTACGTTGTTAATAGTTGACCATATTTGTATAGATCTAATTTTGGGCTAGCAGTGTTCTGTTCCAGAGTAATTTATGTATTCTTTTGCCCGTTTACAGAGAGGAAATACAGAGAAAGATCTTCGGTCTATTAGCTCACTCCCCAAGTGGCCTCAATGATCGGTGTTAAGCCCAAACAAAGCCAGGTCTCCCACATGGGTTCAAGGTCCCAAGGCTCTGGGTCATCCTTGGCTGCTTTCCCAGTTCACAAGCAGGGAGCTGGATGGGAAGTGGAGCAGTTGGGACACGAACTGGTGCCCATATGGGATCTGGCTTATGCAAGGTGAAGATTTAACTACTGAGCCATTGCACCAGGCCCAAATGGACAGATAAGTAATAATACATTGACACAATGGAATATTCTTTGGAGATAAAAAGAAATGAGCTATCCAGCCATGAGAAAACATGGAGGAACCTTAAATTCATATTCCTAAGTAGAAGAAGCCAGTCTGAAAAGCATACTCTATATATGCAATTAGGTGACACTCTGCAAAAGATGGAACTATGAACACAGTAAAAAGATGAGTGTTGGGGCCAGCAATGGGGCATAAATAGTTAAGCCCCACCTGCAGTTCTGGCATTGAATACAGAGGCTAGTTCCTGTGCCTGCTGCTCCATTTCCCATCCAGCTCTGTTATCATGCCTGGAAAAGTAGTGCAGGATGACTCAGTCCTTGCTCCCCTAGAGCTTCACGGGAGACCTCGACGACTTTCCTGGCTCCTAGCTTTGGCCTCTCTAGCCATAGTCATTGTGGACATTTGGTGAGTAAACCAGAGAGTAGAAAGTCTCTCTGTTTCATTCCCCTATTAAAAAATATTAATAAAGATGAGTAGTTACTGGGGTTTGAGAAAGAGAAGAAAGGATGGATAGATAAAAATAGGGGATATTTAGGGTAGTGAGACTATTCTGCATGCTACTATAATGGTGGAGATAACATTATTAGGCCTTTGTGAAAAATCAGAACATAAATTACAAAGCTTGAAAACTCAAGTAAAGCGGGCAATTTAGTTAACAACAATGTGTAAATATCAATCCATCAGTTTAACAAACGGACATAATAAGATATAAAGTAACAGTGAAAATTGGGGCAGAAGTGTGAGGGAGAGGAAGGTAGCAGGGCTCTATGAACTCTCCATTCAAGCGTTTATAAACTTGATCTATAAAACTCATCTAAAATAGCCTATTGATTAAATAAGAATTAAGATTCCTAAACATTACTTTGACCATATTCTTCACATGTTAAATATATCACATTTACACTTAATTTCAGAAACGTTTTGTAATCCTCAATTCTATTTGTTCAACATCATTTTCTTAAATTTTCTTCATTTGCGAAGCACAGGGAGAGAGGAGAGCATTCTCACCAGCTGGTTTATTCCACAAAAGCCTGCAACAGTTGGGAGCAGGCCAAGCCAAAGCGAGGAGCCAGGAACTCGATCCGGCCTCGCACAGTGTGGCAGGGACCAAACAATTCCATCACCACCCACTGTCTTCCTAGGGTGTACATAAGTAGGAAATTGGAATTGGAAGTAGGAGGTGGGACTCAGATCCCAGTACTTCAATACAGGATACAAGATGCTCCAAGCTGTTTCTACACCAAAATAAAAGTCTGACCACAATATTTTAATACTAAATTGGTTCATTCTCTAAAGAGCCACAAAGACTGGGGCTGAGTCAGGCCAAACCCAGGAGCTCAGAAATCCAACCAAGACTCCCACAGAAGTGGTAAGAACCCCAAAATTGCACAATCATCGGCTGCTCTCTTAGGCTCAGAAGCAGGGAGCTGGATCAGAAGTAGAGCAGGAGAGACTCCAACAGTCACTGTGAAATAGGATGCCAGGTTTAAAGTAGTAACAACATACTATGCCACAAGGCTAGGCCCTGGTTTTAAATTATTAATTTTTTTCCTTTTTGAAGATTTATTTATTGGGGTCAGTGCTGTGGCTAAATGGGATGATCCTCCACTGTCAAGCACCAGCATCCCATATGGATGCTGGTTCATGTCCTGCTGCTCCACTTCCATTCCCATTCAGCTCCCTACTAGTGGCCTGAGAATGCAGAAGAGAATTGCCCAAGTGCTTGGGACCCTGTACCTACAGGAGAAACCTGGAGGATGCTATTAGTTCCTAGCTTTGGATTGGCTCAGCTCCACCCACTATAGATATTTGGAGAATAAACCAGCAGATTGAATATCTTTCTTTCTCTGTCTCTTTCTCTTTCTAACTCTGCTTTTCAAGTAAAAATAAACACTTATTTAAAGATAAATATTTTTATTTAAAAATTAATAAATCTTTAAAAAAATTTTTTATTTAAAAAGAATGATTTTTAAAAGGTTTGTTTATTTTTACTTGAAAAGCAGAATTACAGAGAGAAGGGGTGGTGGAAGAAACAGAAATCACCCATTCACTAGATCATCCCCCAAAATGGTCACGATGGCCAGAGCTGGGCCAGTCTGAAGCCAGTATCCAGGAACTTCTGGATCTCCCACAAGGGAGCAGGGTACCAAGGCTTTGTACTTTCCTCCGCTGCTTTCCTAGGCCATACAGCAGGGACCTGGATCAGAAGTGGAGTAACCAGAATTTGAACTGGAACCCATACTGGATGCAGGCTCTGCAGACTAAGGATTAGTTTGCTGTGCCACTGTGCTGGCTCCTGGTTTTAAATTCTTTTTTTTTTTTAAGATTTATTATTATTTTTTTTATTGGAAAGGCAGATATACAGAGAAGAGAGGAGACAGAGAGGAAGATCTTCCGTCCGATGATTCACTCCCCAAGTGAGCGCAACGGCCGATACTATGCCGATCTCAAGCCAGGAGCCTCTTCCGGGTCTCCCACGCGGGTGCAGGGGCCCAAAGCTTTGGGCCGTCCTCGACTGCTTTCCCAAGCCACAGGCAGGGAGCTGGAAGGGAAGCGGGGCTGCCGGGATAGAACCGGCACCCATATGGGATCCCGGGCATGCAAGGCGAGGACCTTAACCACTGTGCCACCGCGCGGGCCCCTGGTTTTAAATTCTTAACAAGAGACTTACCTTACAGAATTTCACCTCTGCTTCTAAATGATGAATGTACTGAGACTGGTCATTAATGATAGGTACAAGGTTTTGCACTGTGGGTATCATGGTTTCCTCATCTTCTGATGCGTTCTGACAAAAAAAATCAATTATGTTTGGATATGGAGAAAAATCAGTTGATTTTTTTTCATATTTAAGTAAGCACTGATGTGAACCAGACATGGAATAGATTACAACATAGCTAACTGCATTATTTTTCTTCCCACATACTCTACCACTACATGAGATTCAGAGATTGGCCTATCACATTTTAAAGACAGAAAGGGAAAGTAATTATAAAAAATCACAATCAAAAAAAAAAAGACTAGGGCAGTATAAACTGGCATGAAATGAGATGCCTATTTGAAGTGTCTGAAAATGTGACATTCCACTCAAAAATGAACTACAAGGTACAACTGTGTTTAAGAAACTGTCATAGAAGAAAGCTTACCTAAAACTACAGATCAACTCCCTGAAGAAGAGATTATTTAGATAAGTATTTGCTGCCAATTATGACCTACATACATACATACATACATAAATAAGGTGGGGAGACCCGCTATGGTTGCCTAGTGGATGAAGTCCTCATTTTGTATGTGCCAGGATCCCATATGGGTGCTGGTTCATATTATGGCTGCTCCACTTCCCTTCTAACTCCCTGCTTGTGGCTTGGGAAAGCAGTGGAGGACAGTCCAAAGCTTTGGGACCCTGCATTCATATGAGAGACCTGAAAGAAGCTCCTGGCCTCTGGTTTCAGATCAGCTCAGCTTTGGCCATTGCAGGCACTTGGCAAGTGAACCAGTGGATAGAACATCTTTGTCTTTCCTTCTCTCAGTAAATCTGACTTTCTGATAAAAAAATAAATAAATCTTTTTTTTTTTTTTTAAAGATTTATTTTTATTATTTTTTATTGGAAAGGCGGATATACAGAGAGGAGATACAGAGAGGAAGATCTTCCGTCCGATGATTCACCCCCCAAGTGAGCCGCAACGGTCGATGCTATGCCGATCCGAAGCCAGGAGCCTCTTCCGGGTCTCCCACGCGGGTGCAGGGTCCCAAAGCTTTGGGCCATCCTCGACTGCTTTCCCAGGCCACAGGCAGGGAGCTGGAAGGGAAGCGGGGCTGCCGGGATTAGAACCGGCGCCCATATGGGATCCCGGGCGTGCTAGGCGAGGACTTAACCACTTGCGCCACCGCGCCGGGCCCAAATAAATCTTTTTTTAAAAAAAGATTTTGAAATTTTTGACATTAGAACAAGGCAATCTAAAGCTATTCTCTTCTGGAGTACATAACTTGTAAGACTAGAATATGGAAGCAGAAACATAAAAGTGAGTGACATATTACACTGGAGAACCCAAGGAAGAAATTTCTGAAGAGGTGGTAATGCCACTCAACTTCGCAGCATTCCTGAAACTAATTTTTATGTATGTATTACCATATCTTGAAGTAATTGTGCAATGGTTTATAAGATTGTTTATCATATCATGATAACAACAACAACCAAAAAAAAAAAAACACAGATGAGAGAACCACAAAAAGGTAAAGTGAGGGTCACTAGTAAAACAAACCCAGAGGAACTTAAGATAAGACACAGTCACCCATTCTATGTCTCACTCCAGCAGAAATCCTAGATATGAGGAAGCACTGGGTTTCTGAGCAATCATTAAACAGAGCTTAGCTGTTGGCATACTTAAGGAATTTGAAAACAGGCAAGAACAATTAAATGAACCACTGGTGGTATGTAGAAAACAATTGTGATAATCATTTTATGCATGTAACAGAAATACTTCAAAAAGTAGACAAATATGAAACACTATTATGCATCTATAGAGGAAAGTTAGTGAGAATTAAAAAAAACTTAAAATAATACTGTATAAAGGATGTTCACATGTATAACTTGAATATACTTGGAAATATTTACCATAGCATGAATATCCAGGTATCAAAATAATTAGTAATATAACTTGGATATGTTTTCCATCTAATAGTTCATTTCCAATACACCCATTTATTTATGATTTGCTCCACTTACAAGAAAATGTATTCTAAGTGTATAAATCCTAAGAAATGAGCCACTATCATGGCTTACAATCATTCTGTGCAGGGTACATACAGCTCAAGGTTCAGTCTTCTACATAGTTCCATGCATGTTCATAGACTATGTACGTATTAAACTGATGGTCCTTGAACAATGGTCTTTATGCCTATGCTCACTGCATGAGCTCTCTAGTATCACCATTCAGCTTTATTTTAGAAAGCTAATAAGCATATCTGAACATTCAACAGATACAAAAATTTCATCTAATAGAAGCAAAACCACTCTCCTTACTAAGCTTTTGGAAATGGGATGTCAACAGTAATAAATCCCCTAGATGAGATGTTTTGTTATAAACTAGATCTGTAGATATTGAATATGTGAATTACAGTTCTCTAAAATGGGAGTTAAGCTTAAAAGGAATGTGTCAGGGTAAAATTAGTGTTATTATGGGATTATCAACATGACATTGCAGGTATGAAAGTAACAAGTCTCAGTAGTTTTCAGCCTGCAGGTGCTATATTCAACCACCACACATTGTACATAGGAGATGGTTACTTCATAGGTATCAAAAGAATTCTAAATACAAGCTCAACAGATATATAGGTAAGCATGTATATACATATATTTATCTAGAGGGACTGTATAATGAAGGCAAGTATACTGTTAAGCAGAGGTACATTGCAGTGTGCATGCCTACTTCTGAATAAAAGAACTCCCAATGAAACCATTAAACATGTCTTTACAATGAATGCTGGACTTTATACCATTGTCTATACCTACAATGTCAGGATACAGTTAAATAGAATAATGATTGACTATTGACTATTGTTGAAGGGCTACACTATTATTATAATATAGGGGAAAACAGTGTGGAGAGGGTGGAAGGGGAAATTCCTGAACCTAGGGAACTGTATCATGAAAAATAATTAAAAAAAATCTAACTATACAATCTTATTGTCACAAAAATGCTGTGAGAAAGGCAAATATCCTTCTAGAGAGTATGTGAAAGATCACACATGCATAGATCTTAGGCCTAAATATCACTTTGCTAAGTGCTGCAAAATAAATTCTCTAAACAGTTCTGTGAATAATAAGCTGAAAAGATCAAGATTCTTTTTTATTATAGAAGCAAATCTCTAGTCTTCAGTCAAAATCACTAGAGGTAAGAGAATTTTTAATGCCTTACCCATTAGCATGCCCTACTTAGAATTTGTCTACAGCATTTACTACTAAAATGACACTACAAAGTAAAACACAGAGGACGACTGCTTTTATATTTTGCTTTGGCAGAAGTTGATACTTACCAAAGAGGATATTTTTTGTCTTTGTGATAAAGATATTTCAGTTTCTTTATTTTCTTGTCGCCACAACAATGCTTTGAGCTGATTAACTGCAGAGCAAAAACAATGAGCATATTAACCTGCTTGACATCCATGTTGCATTAAATCTATCCATTTTTTTTTCATCCATGCAATGCACTAAGAACTGTGCTACTGATTGGTTATACAACAGAAACACTGAAAAAAAAATGGGGCCAGCGGAATTAGGCTGCCATCTGCAGTGCTGGCATCTCATATGGGTGGTGTATGCATTCTAGTTGCTCCACTTCCAATCCAGCTCCATGCTAATGCACCTGGGAAAGTAACGGAGGATGGCAAAAGTGGGATACTCAGAAGATCCTGGCTTGTAGTTCCTGGCTAATTCCTGACCTCGACCTAGCTCAGCGCCAGTCATTGTGGCCATTTGGGGAATGAACAAGCAGGTGGAACGCTCTGCCTTTCTCTGTCTCTCTGTGTCTCTCTCTACCTCGTTTCTCTCTCAAACTACCTCTACTACTTGAGAGCTATGACTTCAATAAGCAAGAAAGACACACTGATATAAACAATATAGTATGTTTATTTACAGACCTAGAGGTATGAGTAGTGCTATAAAAATGGACAGCACTCAATTGTGCCTGTTTTCATAGAGGAGATAACAGCATAAGGATGAATGGAACTCACCAAGCAGAAAAGGGTTCAAATAATACCTGTTAGAAGGTACTACAAGGGGCTGGCATTGTGACACAGTGGGTAAAACCATAGTGGTCTGTGATGTCAGTATCCAATATGAACTCCAGTTTGAGTCTCAGCTGCTCTAGTTCCCATCCAACTCCCTGTTAATGTACCACTGAAATCAGCAAGGATGGCCAAAGTTAGGATCCCTGCTACCCAAGTGGAAAACCCAGAAGAACTCCTAGAATTTGACATTGCTCAGCTCTGATACAGTGATCATTTGGAGGGAAACAAACCAGGAAATGGAAGATTTCTCTCCGTCTGTGTGTGTGTGCGTGTATGTGTGTCTGAATGTCTGCTTTTCAAATAAACAAAAATAAACCTAAAAAAAAAGAGGGCACTATAAATAGAAGCACAGTAACCTGGCCAGGAGTTGGTAAGGCAGAATATGGCCCATGACATCAGTGAGTAGGATGAGAATTAAAAAATGGAAATTGGATATATCTTGACAATAGGATGCTGGACTATCTAGCATTGTCCGTACAAGCAATATTAGGACACATTTAAATAACAGGCTGATGGACATATGAGTGCTTATGAAGGACTACACTATTGTAATAATATGAGAGAAAATCAATTGGGGTTGGGAATTTGTGGAGGAAGTAGGAAAATCCCAGACCTCATGCAATTGCACCATAAAATTTAAAAAAACAATAATAAACAATAAAATTTAAAATATGAGAATGGAGAGGGAGGTTGAAATGATACTAGGAAAAGGCTATTCTAAAATTTTGGGGCCCAGCACAATGGCCTAGTGGCTAAAGTCCTCACCTTGAATGTACTGGTATCACATATGGATACTGGTTCTAATCCCAACGGCCCCACTTCCCATGCAGCTCCCTGCTTGCGGCCTGGGAAAGCAGTCGAGGACAGCCCAGAGCCTTGGCACCTTGAACCCACATGGGAGACCTGAAAGAGCTCCTGGCTCCTGGCTTCAGATCAATGCAGCTCCGGCTGCTGTGGTCGCTCAGGGAGTAAATCATTGGATGGAAGATCTTCCTTTCTGTCTCTCCTCCTCTCTGTATCTATCTATATATGACTTTGCAATAAAAATAAATAAATCTTAAAAAAAACAAGAATTTTGGACTTGCTGCCATCTTTACGCTGGTGTGGGCAGGCTCGTGGTATCCTGGGAGATGGTGCTGGTGGGGGTGTATAGGGGTCTGGTGGCTCATGCTCAGGCAGGCAGAGCGGGCATGGGGATTTCCTCATGTGCTTGGTTCCAGGTGGGGTGAGGGAGGGAGAGAGAGCCCTAGGTTAGCATGCTGGCCTGATGTGATGGTTCACTGGGTTTGGGGAACTTTGAATGGTACTGGACATTGGGTGGGCAGAGGGACAAGGTCCTAGGCCAGCACACGTGCCAGGAGCTTAGGACCTTAGTGGTTGAACAGAGCTCCAGGTCAGTTTACCACCCTACTGGAAGACTGAGTTTCAGAAAACTGGGCTGGGAAACCCATGTGCTCCAGGTTGTAGGTACTATGGTTTTCTCAGGGAATGGGTATGGGGATGTACAGGATGAAGGACACTAAGGGAGTATGTTGCAGGTGAGCAATAACTTTTGAGGGACTTCCATCAATAAGGCCATCATACTTGCAGGTAAGTGAGGTGGCCGAGATGGAGCAGTTTGGAAGGAGGCTGGAGGAACTTTCTGGATCTCTCACGTGGGACACCTGAACTGGGCTAGTTAGCATGGACCACTGCTGCTCACCACCCACTAGTATACATTAAAGCTTGTGTTGGGAACCTACCTGGCAGGGCCAGATTACAGTATCCACTAGTGAGTGTCATAACAGAGGGCAGGTAATATTAAATTGGGTCATGACACTAACCAGCATGCAAAAAACTAGGTCTGGGGACAGATTTTGTGGAGGATATGTGGGCTCACCCCTGTGGAACTGCAATTTCTGCTGGTTTGCTCAAGAGCTGGGAGTAGTGAAGGGTGGAGTTAGGCATGACCACGGAATACTCCAACACTCATGAGTACTGGGATTGGGAACAAGATGAGCTGATCTAAGCTGCAACACCTACAAGTACACCTAAGAATAGGGTCACAATATCCACCAACTCATACAAAGGTCAAGACAGCAGGGCAACCATGCCAGTTAACGGACTAGCACCCTCTGGCACATATGAGATCTGGGAGTGAGTCTGGTGGGAGTACTCGGGAAACTTCGCTAGTGGGCTGTAGCTCCCACTGTTGGGAAGTGATTCAGGACTGGGTGTTGCTCAGGCTGGTCAAGGCAGCTCCACTTGTCAGTAAGTGTGTGTGGGTTGGTTCTGGGGGGCAGTGTGTCAGGGAACGTGACAGGGCTGAGCAAACTTTAGCACAATGGCATGTGTGGGAGCTGTGTTGCAGTGCAGGTCATGCTGGGCTAGGCTATTACAACTAACACTTTGCTGAGCCATGGATGGGAACAGACTGGGCAGGCCTAGGCTGCAGCACCTCCCCACCCCACCAGCAGGAGTTGAGACTGGAGGCAGATCGGGAGAGGTCAATCTGCAGCACTGATGGCAAAGGGCAAGATTGGGGATGGGCTATGTTGGGCAGGTCAGAGCAAACACTGGCATGCACAAATTTGTGGCTAGGAACAAGCCTGGCTGGAGCACTAAGGGCATGTCCCAGCTAGGTTGCAGTTCCCACTGGTGAGTGTGAGAGCCAGAATGGGGGGGGGGGTGTGATCTGGGTTGGATATAACTGCAGTGTCCCTCAGCAGGGATGTGGACTGGGTCTGGGCTGTGACAGACTGGGCTAGACTCCAGCACCCGCTGGCACTCATGAGTCAAGGTGAGTATAGCATGGGCTGGAATAAGTCTCCACACCAGCTTAACCATGTGAGACCTGTTTGGGTGTGGAACAGGCATGGTGGGCATAGCACCCAACAGTTAAGAACTGGAACAGGTGCTGACTGGTTGGGCAAGGCCAATGTTCCTTCCAGGACAAGAGGTGGGCTTTGTCAGTTCGGGCTAAGGACCTACTAGTTGTACAAAATCTGTCACTGGGAGAAGACCTGATAGAAGAGCCTGGAAAACACTATTCCTTCCAGGACAGGAGGTGGGCTAAATCAATCTGGGCTAAGGACCCACTGGTGTGCACAAAATCTGTCACTGGGAGGAGACCTGATAGAGGAGCTTGGCAAACTCCCCTGTAAGGACACATTCCCTGCAGCTGAGTGCAAGAACCAAGGCTGGGGCAGCCCAGACCAGGTAGGTTGCAATAAGTGCCAGCATATGTGCAGGTCAGGTTTGGAGCAGGCCAAGCTGAATCAGTTCATAACACCCACTGGCAGATCTGAGAACCAGGACAGGATGCAGGATGGGCCAAGTCGGGCTGTGGCACCAGTCAGTTCACATTAGGACCAGGACTCGGGGCTGGTGGACCTGGCCAGGCTACAGCATCCAGCATCAGGAGCTAGAACTGGGGGCAGACTGGGCTGGGCAAGGTTACAGCACCCACTGGCAAATGCCAAGGTGAGGCAGGCCATGTCGGTGAATCAGTGGATAGAAGATCTCTCTTCCTATTTGTCTGGCCCCCTGTAACTATCATCTTCAGTCAAGTTGACAAAAATTTCAAGCAAGCAAAAGGCCATATATGTGTGTCCATCAGGCTGGGACTGACTTTCATACTTACCGGCATGGCTGTGTTGCAGTTCGTGCCAGGCTGCCCCAGCATCCTCATCTCCTGCAGTGATGCTATGGGAGGCATCCAGTGCTTCTTCTCCAGTCGCTCCTTCGCTTTCTCTCAGCACACACTTCAGTTGATGAATGCTTCTATTGGCGCGCTCTGCAACAATAACCTGATGAAAGTCAGGGTAAATGAAATCTGGGGAGACTGCAAGGACTCAAGAAGGCAGTCTCTAAACTATTATTTCTGGTACCTTATTGGGGGAAAAAGGCAAATTTCCATTTTTAGCTTACTGAGAAATGTTGCAGAGTAGTGAGAGAAGACGAAGCTCATGGGGTGGAGATGGGCCTGGATCTCTGAGGTTCCCGGGGCAGTGGTTCACATGGACTTTCCAGTATCACTGGCAAAAGCAAAGCTTTTCCTGCTCCCCTAAACACGAACAATATCTGATCCGGGGACGCATCCTTCCCCTCTCAGTGTCTAAGATTCCCATGGCCCATCCCTCAAGACACTGGGGAGAAGAGGCAGCATATGTAGAACCAGTAAGAGGGACACAATCATACCAAACTGCCTGGGAAATTTTACTGTCTCCCTGGGCCTCTCATCCTTTCCCCATTAAGCTACATGAAACTGCCTAGCCCAGTTATGAACTAATATAATGGCAGCCCCTGTGGTACAGTCTTTTTCATATACTGCTGGTGAACTTACATTTCACACTGACTCTTAGTGCGACTGACTGTTCCTAGAATGGAAACTTAAACCGAGTAACACATGGGAAGGTTCTTTAAAAAGTTCTTGGGAAATCTGAATTGTCTTTTAATTTCATTTTTCCAAAAATGTGTTGATATCATTGTATGCTCAAACAACAACTATCTGAATTAATGAAACAATGAGGTTTATTACAATGAAAGTTCACCTCTAAAGATGGACCCATGGAACCCAGGCTCACGCACCCATCCTCTCCTAGTTTTAAAACAAGTAGACCTGTACCTTGCATTAGTAAATAGAATGTAGTGGGAGTTACACCATGCCAGATACACATCTTTAAAGAGACTGGCAGCTCCTGCTTCCTCTCTTGGAAAGCTTGCTGCTGAGGGTTGGCTACTCTGCTGGTCAGACTTGTGAAGGGGCCACACAGACAAGAAAGCCCTGACAAGGAGAGAGGCATTCTTCTGCTCTCCAGGCCCCCTGTCCTCCCACACCAACAGAGGACTCCAGTACCCCACCAAATGGCAATGGCACAAAACACCTCATCCATTGCCAATCATGTATGGAAATACAATTATAAACCTATGTTACACTGCGTCTTGAGAAACAGATTGTGTTTTTTCCAAGCTCATGCATTTCAAAGTGCAGAGCAGTATAACAATAACCATTTTTATTTATACCAAAATAACCCTTTATTACAAGATATGTAATACAATTTCTGTTCAACAACTCAGTTTTGGTTTTGATTAAGCTATCAGTTGAACAAACCTAAACAATGAATTTCTGTTACTCTGTGACATTAGAGACTTGCTGAATTTATCACTACATTTGCTTCCCACCAATCCAATTCTATACAAATCTTTCTCTAATACAAACTTGATGTTAATTACTAACCAGGTATGACCTTCTCTTGCTCATTAAAAGCTTAAGAATGTTCAGAGACTAGGCATGGCTGGGTTGTAAGAACTGGGTTGGGTGTGGGATGGTTGGGCAAGGCTACTGTTCCTGCCAGGACAGGAGGTAGACTAAGTCAACTTGGGCCAAGGACCTACTGATATGTGTGAGATCTGCCACTGAGAGAAGACCTGAAAGAGGAACTTGGGGAACTCCTTTGCAGGGTCCAGTCCCTGCAGGTGAGCAGAAGAACCAAAGCAAAGAGCAGCCCAGAGCAGACCAGAATACAGTATCTGCCAGCATACATGTGACTCAGGTATCGGGGCAGCTAGGCTGGCAGATGTGAGAATTAGGAGGGGGTGCAGGACAAGCTGGGTGTGGTCGCATCACCAGCCAGTTCACACTAGGGCTGGAAACTGTGCCAGGTTGGGCAGCAGCTTCAGCCAGTGTGAGCTGGAATGGGGGCAGATTGAATTAGGCCAGGCTATAGCAACTGCTGGCAAATGCCAAGGTGAGCCGGACTACAGCACCCACTAGCACATGCAAGACTGGAATAGGGGTGTAAGCCTGGTAGGGGAGTAGCAGCGACTCTCCTGATGGGCCACCGTTCATGCTGGTAAGGGTGAGACCTGTGATTGGGGGCAGACCAGGATGGGTAGGGCTATATCACCTAGTGGCCTACATTTAAACTGGGTTGGGGGAGCCAGGCTAGGCTAACCAACTATATCCACTGGTATAGGTATAAGTCAGAATAAGGGCAGATTGGTTGGGCTTTGCCATAGCATCTGGTGCCAAGCGCTGGGACCGGGGGCAAGTCCTGTCGACTAGACTGCAGATACACCTGGAGAGTCCAGATCCACTTGGAGAATGCAGATCCATAGCAGAGAGTGGGTCCAGTGGGGAGGTTGTGGGTTCCTCTCTGATGGGCTTCAACTCCCATTAGTGAGCATGAAAACCAGGACTGGGGTTGGGCTAGCTGGACAGGTGGTGGCATCCACTGGCATGAGTGTGGGCTGGAGCATGGAGTCAGTTGGGTTGAGTTGGGCTTCAGTGCCCAATGATGTATACGAGATCTCACTGACTAGTGGGGCAGACTGGATCAGCCCACTGCACATGCTGGCAAGCACAGGAAGCAGAGCTGGGGGGCTGGTTCAGTGGGGGGTTATTGGGGGTCACCCTGACTAGGCTGTAGCTCCCTGCTAATGTATGTGAGGGCCAAGTGTGTGCTGGGCAGGGCTGGGCTGGGCCACAGCATCCACTGGTTTGCTGAAGATGGAGTGCAAAACAAACGGATCAACTACCCCAGTGAAGCTTGACAGCAAGCTTCTGGGCCAATAGAATCTCAGAGATGGACTATGTCATCCAATCCTTGCAAGGATTTCTTCATCCTTGGAGCAGTGATATCAACAGCATCTCAGAACTATCAAAACCACAGGAGCAGAAACCTCAGAAAATACTCCATAATTGGGATCCTGGGATGTCATAGTGTGGCAGTTCCTATCCCCCGGGTAATGTGACAGTTGGGAGGCTGGATGTCTTGTATCCCTCTCTCCCTCACATACAGGAAGAAGAGAGGGAAAATGTATAAACAATGGCTTCACCCACTTTCCCTGATCCTTGACCCTTCCCACGCTGAGCAACAACATAAACATCATCAAAAATAAAATTAAAAAAAAAAAGAATGTACAGAGAAGATGTATTCCTTAGCTCTAGTAAAAATAAGAAGCAACAATAGTTTTCAAATGAAAATATTTTCTAAAGGGATTTGTTAATGGAAAAGGAAAATCAGAGTGTCACATGACAAGCCATTTAGCTCACAGTTTCAGATTGATGCCCATAAATCTATGGATAAAGCACTTATCTTTATAGCATCCATTAGGAAGGAAATAATAAGGTTTGATTAACATTAAAAGTGTGTTCCATGGAGCTATCAAACGACTTCACTTCTAAGACAAGGGAAAATTATTTATTTATATGTAGTCTAACTAAAAGCTAATGAGCTATATTAGGAAAAAGAAAGAAAATATGGAAAAGTCATAGCTGAAAATCCTTACAGGTACAGTTTTTTCAAATCAGATTTAACTGACAGTGGGGCTTAAAAATCCTTTTTTGTTCTTTTTCTAAAATTTTTGTTAAAATATCTGAGATTTCATAACAAAGATTACATGTTAAATTGTACTGAAAACAATATTTGAAGCCTTAAGATAGTGAACTTGACAACTCTCCCAAAGAAAACAGTGACAGGCAGTTTTAAGTATTTCTGTAACTACTGGTTTCACTTACAAGGGTCAGAAAAGGAAGTTGCAAGGACAGTGGCCTGAAATTAAAACTAAAGAAGTAAGGACTTTCAGTTTATTTCAAAACTACATTTCAAACTTACTAAGTGGATTTCAACTATATATAAAACAACGTAATTATACATGGTAACAAGAGTCAATCCTGAGGAATAAAACTATTTAATTGATTCAAGACACATAAAATCTCAACAGTCTTCAACCGCAGCCATAGCAACCTAATCAAAGTCCCCACAATCTTTCCTAGAACAACGCTACTCCCAGAGCCAGCATGTGGTTCACTGGATTAAGCTGCCACCTGCTATACTGGCATTCCACATGGGTACCAGTAACATTTACTGAGCTAGCTTCCTGTCAATGTGCCTGGGAAAGCAGCAGAAAATGGTTCTAGTGCTTGGATCTGTGCCACCCATGCGAGAGTTTAGATGGAGTTCTTAGTTCCTGACTTCAGCCTGGCCTGGCCTTGGCTGTTGCAGCTATATGAAGAATGAACTGGCAGATGGAAAACTTCTCTCACTGTCTGTCCATTACTCTTCCTTTCAAACGCGTTAATAAATGCAAGGTTTTTGTTTTGTTTTATTTAAGAATACTACCCTGCCCCCAGATGCATTACTTCCTGCTTGCACTTAAGGAAACTAGATTAGACAGGAGCTTCCAGGAACCGTTTCTACTGCTAATGGACATGGCTTTATTGGTCTAAAGCCAAGAGGCACACAGAACACTCATTGCCCCTTCTCTTCAGAGAGGATAGGAGGAGTATTTCAGAACACAACCTGACATCTTTCTCCTAGCAGCAGTCAGGGGCTGATTACGAACTTCACAATACTATAAATACAAACAGGACCTCCTGAGGCCTACCGATTACATGAACATAAATACAAGTAAGTAATATTTCTGCTAGTCCTCCATCCAAACATTAATCAGTAAAAGGAGCACTTAAAAGGTTCTTAAGCTGATGACTGCCAGCAAAATTAAATCTCTTACAAATTTTCGTAGTCCAGTTCTCCTGCTTCCGACATTCTAACTCCTAACTTATCAGCAAGCATTTTTCAAATTTGTTCTTTTGAAAAAAAAAAAAAAAGGTGCAAGGCTGTGTCAGTGGAAGAGATCATCACTTAGATACATATTGTGAATTATTAATTTCTGCATTCTCCATCTGTTCTGGGAGATGTGAAAGAGAATTGCCCTGGTGACCGGGAGCGAGGAGCCACTCCCTGTGAAGCATCCAGCTGTCTGTGAGTCAACAAACTGAGACCAGGGCAA